AAAAAATTACTTTTTTTTTGAAAAAAAAATTTTTTTTACATTTTTTTTTCTTTAATTTTTTTTTTGAAAAAAAATGTTTTCTTTATTTTGACATATTTTTAAAGATCTAAACTTTTTTCAAAGCAATCGTACTGCTTTAACTGCATAAAGACGAAATATCAAACCGCGTAAGCGCCGCGTCGACATCTAACCAAAAATGTAAACCAAAATTATACTTATTGTTAAAATCTCTATAAAATATCTGATAATTTGATGTGCATATGTCTAATGATCATTTTGACCGCCAAATGGCATTTTGTTTTACTTTTTTCATTAGATCTCCGAAACCGCTAGACCTGCCCTTAATGAAAATTTGATCGGTTCTTCACCTTGTCAATACAAATAAAATGTTTTTTGTTCTATTAAAATCGGACGCTCCGGTCTCTTAAAAACTGAGTTACCGTTTTCGGCACTTTTTGCCCCGTATCTTCGGAACGGCTAGACCTGCCTTTGCCAAAAACTAATCAGCACGTCTCCTTATGAATACGAATCGAATGTTTTTTGAATTATTCAAATCGGTTGATCCGTGTTCCCGAAATCGTCGACGAAAATTTGTATCCGCACATACATACACACACGTACATACATACACACACACACACACACACACATACATCCATTTTTTTTTAAGGTATGCCAAAATATTCAGAAATCTCTGAAACGTAAAGATAATAAAATTTTCATTTTTTGATTTTTTTGCGATTACTATAACTTGCCCTACGGGAAGTTAAAAAAAACGTTTTTTATGCAGTTTTATAAGTTATGCAGTAAAAGAGGTGACATGTTCCATAAATATGTCGAATAATAAAACCGTGAATAAAAATTGGTAATTTACTGGGATTACAACAAACACGTATCTGGGTCTTTTATTAAATAGAAAAATTATACAAAATATAAATATAATTAAAAATTGCAGACTTTTTGATAAATTAAGGGGGTATTCTAGTGTAGAAATTCAAAAAAAATCGATTTTTTTATTTCATATTTTCAAAGTTTAACTATCTAAGAATATGGGTACGAGAAGGTTTTTGAAAATTTCAATTATTTTCGGAGATATAGGCAGTTTACTGACTCGGTCTTCATACTGGTTTGGCTTCACGCAAAACTTTAAATGCGTTTTTCTCATGATAACAAACTTTTTCAGTTCTGTTGACACGATTTCTCGAGTTCTACACGACTGATTTACTTAAAATGTTCAGAGAGTCTTGTTTATAGACCTAGCTATAACCCGAACTAGGATTATCCCCAAATTCCAATTTTTATTATTTTTAAGAAATTCGAGAAACTCAAAAAAAAACATAAAAAAAACACTTTTTTTCAAACAGTCGCCAATTTGTTAAAAAACATTTTTTACTCATCGCTAGTTCGGGCAATTGCGACATCATTGTAGATTCATAATCTTTTTATTTCTTTATTTCGGGTGGCTAGGAAGGCTGAAATCATGTCAAGACTGAGGTGCCAAATTTTTGAGACCACCCACTTCAACAGCTGCCAGCTTTTCCAATTTTCAACATTTTTAATTTTTAATTTTTGTTTTGTATTTTAATAATATTAATAAGCAAGTGATAAAAAAATGGATAGAAAAACATTAATTGCTTTCTTTTACGACACTTTAAAAATGACCTAAAATTCATCGCTCTACACTAGAATACCCCCTTAAAAAGTTTGATTTACGGTATAGAACTGTGAGGTTGCGCAAGTAAATCAAACGTCAAAGTTATTAAAAACTAGTGGCCTCGTACCTTAAGGCAAATTGCAGGAACTTTCCGTAGCGAAAACTAAATTATTAAAAAAGAACTGTGCAAAACTTTGAAAATAATTAGATTTTGAGAAATTTTACATTTTTGAAAAAAATGACTTTTTTGAAAAATTAGATTTTTTTATATTTTGATTTTTCTATGTATTTTGATTTTTTTTTTAATTTTGAACGTTTTTTTTAAGCAATCGCGCTGCATAGCTGATTTGGAGTCGAAATATCAAAGCGCGTAAGCGCCGCGTAGTTGTCTAACGTGTAAACATTGGTACGGAACCCATATAAATGTACACAAAAGTTGTACTTATCATTATATTCTTTATAAAATATCTAATACTGTACATATGTCTAATGTTCATTTTTGACCGCCAAATGGCTTTTTTTTATTGGATCTCCAGAGACGTTGGACCTGCCTTTACAAAAATTTTGCCAGTTGTTCATTTCGTCAATACAAGTAAAATGTTTTTTGAATTATTTAAATCGGACGCTCTGTTTTCTAAAAAACTGAAATACCATTTTTTGGCACTTTCTGCCCCGTATCTGCAAAACGGCTAGACCTGCCTTTGCCAAAAACTAATCATTATCTCCTTATCAGTGGTAATCGAATGTTTTTTCACACACATACATCCATCTTTTCTAATTGTAAGGTATGCCAAAATTTTCAGAAACTTCTGAAACGGAAAGATAAATACAAATTTTTATTTTGGATTTTTTGCGATTACTATAACTTACCCCACGGGAAGTTAAATATGTTTTAAAAACTTCAACAAAATTAGATTTGTAAGAACTTTGAGAATTTTGAGTAAATTTGACTTTTTTGAATTTTTTTTTTCATATTATTTTCATAGCTTTTTGAAAATTTTGAAATTGTTTTCAAAGCAATCGAGCTGCGTTAGCAGCGTAGAGATGAAATATCGAAGCACGTGATGCATTTTTGCATGAAGCAAAAATGCAAGTTGCACTTTTTTTACTTTTTTTCATTCGATATTCGAAACCGCTACACCTGCTTTTTCAAAAATTTAACCAGTTGTTCATTTTGTCAATACAAGTAAAATGTTTTTTCAATCATTGAAATCGGACGCTCCGTTTCCTCCTCTCAATACATGCGATACCATTTTTGGCACTTTTTGTTTCGCATTTTCGAAACGGCTGTACCTACCTTTGCTAAAATTAATCAGCACGTCTCCTTATCAATAGAAATCGAATGCCTTTTTAATCATTCAAAACGGTTGATCCGTATGCCAAAATGACCAGAAACCTTTAAAACGTGAAGATATGCAAAAAATTTCATTTTTGATTTTTTTGCGATTACTAAAACTTACCCTACGGAAAGTTAAAAAGTATCAATATTTTAAAATAATCACTATAAATACTGTAAATTTTAATTAGCGTATATTATATTTTGAACCACCTTAATCGGTTGCGCCGTTCTCTCAAAACTACTATTTTTTGCACTTTCTGATCCGTATCTCTGAAACCGCTGGACCTGCGTTCGCAAAAATGTAATCGATTTTTCTCTCAATCAATACCATTAGAATGTTTTTGAATCATTCAAATCGGATGTCTATATCTCTGGAACGGCTGGATCTAAATTGCCAAACACTAATCAGCACATCTCCCCGTCAATACGAATCGAATGTTTTTTGAATAATTCAAATCCGTTGGTCCGTGCTTCCGATACCGCGGATGAAATATTGTACGTCACATACCCATCCATTTTTTTGCCAAAATGTTTAAAAACCTCTGAAACGTATGCAGAAAAAAATATTTTCGATTTCCTTTTTGCGATTAAGTTGAAAACACATATAAAGCAAACTTAATTTTATCGAAGAAAAAAAAATTGCAAAATTTTTTGAAAAACACTATTTGCTTTCACACATATATGACTGACTGGCTAACTTTTTACTCGACAAGACGTGCCAATTTTATATATCTGACACAAGAAATTTTCAGGTCGAAATTAGGATCTTAAAAATTGAGATTTAGCAGTGTGCAAAAAAGTTACGCTAGAATTTTGAATACATTGTTCAAAACTTTGTCAAAGTTTTATAGTTAGACCACTTTTGTAGGGCTCTAATATTTAAAAATGTTCATTAACCAGTTAGGCCTAGACAATATTAGAACATGATATATGTACTATGATAATCATGCAGTTAAGTGTGGCGAGCCGAATGGAGTTAATCACACAGTAAATTGCGCTGTTAATTAACAGCATATACATATTTTTGATCCGATATCTTAAGATATCGGATCAAAAATATGTATTTATTGTACGAAATTGTAAAATGTTATTACTACATACTATATACATATTAAGCTGAAAACGTGACAAATTCAATAAAATATTATACATATAAAAATAAGAATTCAAATTCTTGCTGTGAAGTGATAAGAACAATATAAAAGATTATACGCCTACGAAAATTAGTTTAATTGTATAAAAATTTATCAAAGTTTTCAATCAGTACACCCTATGACGTGCACGCTTAAATAAAATACATTTCTAATATACGAATTAGAACAAAATTAAATTAATTAATAAAATAACACTTACTAAAGTTTATTTAGTTCATTCAGATTATACCTTCCAGATTTCTGGAAGTTTTTGCAACTTGCCTTAAGAAAAAATGTCATTTACAACAACTTATTATACAGTAATAGCTTAAAAAATTTCTAAACATCTTGACATTTCATTTTTGCTCGAAGAATAAAACAAATTTGCACAAGTGATTTGCATCTTAAAAGAAACACAATGTAGAAAACAATATAAATATGTGCGCACGATATGTGTTACCTGAACCAATTATACACCGGACATATATTTTATATTAAAATTATGTTCAACAGTCCATTCCCCAATAGATTTATTTTGAATTATTATATATAAAATTTGCCATTTTGTGCGCGGTCCTCACGTGTGAAATACTATTTTCGATGCGGTCTTCAACGTGTTAAGTTACATAATAAATCACAACGCTGGCCTATACCAGGAGATTATTAAATGCATAAAAGCAGTTAATTGGAGCTGCAAATTAACTACATTTTTCGTATGAAAATCGTAACTTTATTGCTTCCGAACACATATCCACATATAACCATCACATATTCCTCATATAACATAGTGCTTCTATAATATGGATTCAATCTAACACGGTTCGAATATTCAACAAACCTCTCAAAATATAATAAAATTTATTAAAAACGAACTTAATCTAATTCAAAATTATTGAAATCGCTGTATAACAATAAACCGTATAATAATAAATTCGAACGCGACGTCAGTCAGTCATATTGCTTCTTAAAGGAACATTCTTCAAATAAAATGAGCACAACATTTAAAAGAAAACTTCACTAGTGCTTAGAATCATATAAAAATAATATGAATTTTTTGAATTCTAACGTCTATATTCGTAGTGGCATAAGGCGGTAGTTTTTTGAAACGTAACCATCTTGTTATACAGATGGAATAAAAATTCTACGTATTCTATAAATATATTTATTAATAAATATTTTGTTTACAAAATAAAAATTGCTTTGTGTCCCCATAAGTTTAAAATTTTTCATTCCTCATCGTCTGTTGCATAAAGTCGTTTGGCCCACTCGACGGCCGCAGAGAACGACCTCAAACTAGCGGGAGTTCCAATAGAGCTGAGACTGAATGAACCAGCCTCAGCTGTTAATCTCGCATTTAATAAATCTTTAACTATATTTTCGGGATCTACAAAATCTGATTCATTACTATCCATAGAACTTGATATAAGAGACAATTCCAAAAGGCTTTTATAAGATTTTGATTGAACAATATCTTGTGCCAAATGTTTTGATGCTATTAGTTTTAAAATTGTTTCTTCTAGAGGTTGCTATAAAAAAGAACAATGGTTGTATTAGTGTATTAATGTTAAACATATTTGTATAGCAAGAATTAGTAATAATTTACCAGCAACGAAACTTCAAAAAAAAAAAAAATATAAGATGAGGTATGTAATATATATATATATATATATATATATATATATATATATATATATCTTGAATAATGATTTTCAGCGAATCGTCAAAATATCTCAACTCATATATATGTATATATATAATATATATATATATATATATATATATATATATATTAATATATGTGTATGTAAATATATTTATATTTGAAATATAAATGAGAAAATTATAATATAATGATATAATATAATGGTTGATACTAACTTCAAGTTTGTTTATTATCTCCACAGCATGATATCTTAAATAACTCGTTGATTCATTGTTTTTATAAAAAATTAAATCAAACAAAATACCCAAATGTTCCGTAATTTTACTTTCATATTTTTTATGCATATTTTCTATAGTCTGAAAATGTTCAAATTCACCAATTATTGTTAACGACTATATAAAGATTTTAACTGTAGTATACACTCACTAATTCCGACAAATCACCACTGTCCAAAATTTTCATCATAATAGAATATACATTTTCAACTTGTCCAATTTCTCCACAATTTAATATTTTTTCTAACAACATGCTCCATGGACTATTTATATCACAATAATGTTCTATGCTAAATTTTGGCCAATACGACAATAATTCTGATAAACATTCAACATGATCCCAATTTGATACTTTGTCAAGAAAATGTTGGAAAACTTTATATCTTCCTTGTTCAGTAGTTAATTCCATATTCGATAAGATCTCAGCTAAATCTTAATGAAAATAATTTGGTTATAATATTTAAAGAAAACCATGTTATTGATATTTTTTGTTCCATAGTACATATAATTACCACTTTTAATCAGGCTATCTTGTTCAATATTCCAAGCTGAAGAAACTGTAGCTTGTGTATGTTGATAGAGCATTAGTGAACTGACCTCACTATCTGATGAAATATTCAAGTCCTATGTGAAAATAAATTACTTGATGTGAAAACTGTATTTTATGTTTAATATCAAATCAAAAGCGTTTGCATATTGTGTATATAAATTCATTACTATATAATAGAATTTTATTTTTAGAAGTATTGTAAGCATAGCAAAAATGATTGTTGTAAATCTGTGTCATGAAAATGAAGCCCACTAATTTAAATGTACCACAAGAAATTGAATCTTGTGCTTCCTTCAAACATTCAGATTAATCCTGGTCATGCATGTATTTACAAATATTGTATCTAATCTAAGTTTTATCTAATATAAATAGTTATAATTGTATACTTGTATAATTTTCATGAATCTCAATCTCAATGTGGATGGTATTCTAGAGTCTCCACACAAAGGAAGTAGTACATCTGCTAATTCTTTTTTGGTCTTATCACACAATATAAATGATTGTTCTGTGTCTTCATCAATAGATTCATCAATGTTCCATTCATTGTCCCAATCCCCTGAAGCAAAATCTGCCTCAGTTTTCACAACTTCAGATGAACTACTAATTAAAAAACGTTCTAATCTTGTGGCAACCATTGATAAACTATTTAAACTTTCAGTGCTGAAACAAAGTATTTCTTGTGGTTGAAATTTCCATTATTCTTTAAATACAGAGGACTGCTCTTATTGAAATGTTGCAGTATTGATACTCACCTGTTTAAGTTTTTACAGCATGTATTTATTAAATGTGTGATAACAAATAATAAAGTGGGAGAACCAGATATTGATTTCATGGCAATAATGATATCTTCTAAAGAAATGTTATCAATTAATAATAATTCTATATAGCCTGATAGCAGAAGATCTTTATCTGTGCAAGAACCTTGTATAATCCTGCAATAAGATACACCAATCAGAAGTTAAAATTAACTCATTAACGAATCATGCTGTGCATAACAACATTAAGATTCAATTAATAATACTGATTTTTATATTCTATTTATACTAACTTTAATATATGTTGTATATCTCCGTGCAATGATAAATTCTGCCAAGGTTCACTACGAAGTGTCTCAAGCAAACTTTCCCATTCTGTGAATTCGGAATGGGTAAAACTCCAACCTTCACTAAAATAATTTTCTGACTATATTTGTATCTACAAGTTAAAACAAGAAAATATAATAAGGTACTAACATTCTATCTTGTTTGGTCCTTTCATTGCAGTAGGTTATCGCATGTTTGAGCAATGTTAATCTAGTTAATATGTCTATCTTGTTTATTAACTTTGAATTTAATGTGATGTGGTATACAAACATTTTAAAGTCTTCTGCATTGATCTTAGAAAATAGTGGGCTAATATCATTCCAGTGTTTTTCATATTCTTTGAGTGGAGAGTTTATTTGTATCTGAAATGTTCAAAAAATATTTCAAGTAATGTATAAAAAAATAATAATTGGAGTACTAGATATTAATTGCACTTTAGTTAAGGCAAAATTAGTATAAGAATTAATAATATTTTTATTCTTCTCAAACAATGTTGATGAGAATATTCAAACAACCATATAGTTTTCTCTTAATTAAATAAATTTAAAGCAATAACGCTAAAGCGTCAAAATATTTTGTACATTTATTTTTTTATTTTGTGAAGAATTTTATAGAATATTACAATTAATGCAGAAATTCAAGTTTGCGCAAGATATGTTAGTATTACATACTCATAAATCTCAAAATCAAAGTTAAAAGCAAATAAAAAAATACATAACACAGCATATCTTAATTTAATGAAAAAATTTAAAATAATTAAAATTCTCTAAATTATTTCAAAATAATGTATAAAATCTTACTTCTGACATATGTTTTTTGCACCATTCTTTATAAAGTAGTGATTGAGTGTATTGACACTTTGCCAATAATTGTGTTGGTAAACTTTTCAAAAATTTATATAAAACTGGTAGATCATCTTGAAGTAAATTTGATGTTATTTGCGATACAAAATTTTCAGGTGGCGTAAGGAGAATAGCATAATTAAGAGCTGAAATATAACATAATTATGAACAGATAACATGACTTTGCTCCATATTCAATTGAGATAACAGTAATCAATTTCGTACTGAACTTACTTGGACAAGCTGATTTAATTTTTTTAAGTAATTTAATATGTTCTTTTGACAAAAGGCCATAAAATAAATAATCCGGATTAACCCTATCCGTTAATGTGAAATAAACAATTAATATATTGTGCTCCGACCCATCTAATGTAGGAAACACTTCTTTCAACAACCTAAAATGTGGCATAGTGATAAATTACGAATACAATTACATTTTCAAAAGTTTTGCACCTTTCACAAGTTATGTCAGGTTGTTCCTTTAATAATTGAAGTAAGCCTTTATCTTCTAATCGATCACTAACTTTCTTTAAATCAATTTCTGAACTTTGTAATAAACTAGAAGCATGTTCAAATGCTATTGATGATAAATTTATATTATGCCTGTTTCCTAGCTTAAGTGCCAAATTATAGCGATTCAAATCAGGACTCCTATAAATTTAAAAATAAAAAATGTATAAATTTAAATGCTATATATATATATATATTATATATATATATATATATATATATATATATATATATATGTATATTATAAAATTGACAAGATGTAAATATTTTAATATAATGTAAATTTTACACAAATCAATAAATTTTATTCAATCATTGAAATTAATAAAAATTGTTTTTTTACGGAATTGCCAAAAAATTATTTTCATCTGAAAATTACATTTAAGGCTAATCAATGCTAATGAGAACCAGAATAGTAAATTGTTTTTAAATTTTCTGAATTGGACAAATTAAATTAATGAATTAAATTGAAATTTATGTAATTAACATGAAACAATTATAGTGTTTGAAACCATTCCCAATTGATATATTTTTAATCAATGTAGAATTTCTGAAATCTATATAAAATTATCTATTAAATCTAAAAATAGAAGCTTCAACTGTTAAAGACAAAGAAACGGCTCTGTCAATTTCTTTTTTTTTTTAATCAAAAGAAATTATTTTGAAAAGATAAATAATTAAATATTTAACTATTAACTACAAAGTATTAACTACATTGATACATTCACCAAAGTAATTATACTAAATTGATATCTTTCAAAAGGCTATTAAAATCTATTTTAATTCAAACACTTTATAGTATTTATACAGAAACACCAACACTCAATTCTAATTAAGAATACAAATATATATTTCTGTCACTGTACTTAGAATGTGATTATTGATAATTACTTACATTGATAGTCCTAATATTGAATCCCTTCTATAATTTTCATCATTTGCAAATCTTTGTATATCGACACCACAGCCTAAAGTATGCAACTCCTCAGCTTGACAGAAATCTTGTAACTTATTACGATACTCATGAAGTATAGAATGCATTTCACTATCAGTTTTCACATTAAGGGCAAGTTGTGTTATCTATAAAGAAGATACAATTATATCAAACCATTAATCTAATTATATTTGTTCAATACATAATAATCTAGAAAAGTAATTAAATGTCAACAAAACAAAAAACTATAAAAAAAATTCACATTCTATGTAAATAAATACCTGTATGTTGTGATTGAATTTCAACATATGTTATTAACAAACTAACTAAACTTAAAAAACATATTGAACGTGCATATTGCTTCTGCATGCTATATTATGTATCTATAACTTTAATAATTTATTAAAAGATATACTAATTATATTTTGGATCTCTACTATATATACAAACCTCATCCAAATCTTTAGTAAACAAGCTCATATCAGAACTATATTGTGGTTCACTAAATAATATTTGCAATGCAAAGTAATATATAGCTGTCCGCAGCGTAGCCAGTGAAACTGGGAATGAATCCAATACCTTCTTAGCATCACAGGGATTTTTTAATATTAATAAAATAGCCAGTCCCAGAGTAATATCTTCAGGAAGCACATAAGTGGCATATTGAATAAGCACTATAGTAAGCAAAAACATTATTAATTAAAAATTACTGTGAAAATAACCAAACAAAATATTAATATATTTCTATTTCACCTTCATTCATATCTGGTACCAAGGTGGGATCAAATTGATTTTCCAAAACAACTAATTTTAGTAAAATTCTGCAAATTTGTACTTCCTTGCAATCAATATCAACATCAGAAAACCTTGAAATCAAAAATAAATGATAAATAGCCAGAGTACTCTACACTTATTTTATTTCAAACATTTCACTACACAAACACATTTTTCACTTATAAATTTTCATATTATGTACTTCAAATGCATTTCCGTACCAGTTTTCAAATTCAACTTTAATATTCTTCAGAGCATAAAAAATATTGTGTACCATTAAAGTATGTTTGTTACTGATATTCATTGTATGTTTGTTCTTACCTATCATAACATGAATAAAAATTCGATATGAGACATTTTTCATGTAACCCTGCATAAAAACATGGATAACTTTCTTCCGTAAATGTATTTCTGATAGATGAATTTTCTGGAGTTTCTTTACGTTTTAGAAAATCATGTTCAATTATGTGCGACATTAAACTGAATGTTGAGTCCTTTATTATATCAGCTGGATTGAACATTTTCATCACTTTAGTTAAATTTGCAGGCAACTCTTTGACCGTTGACAAGGACTGATAAGAAAAAATTGTTATACATTTATATATATATATATATATATATATATATATATATGTTAATATTGTCTTTTAGACAGAGCGCAATTCAATCAAAGTTTTGTATGGAAATAGCATGAAAAAATTTTCAAAAATTTTGTAAGCATCGAATTTTCAATAAAAAATTACATGAATTTTCACTTTTAATTCATTTGTCGCTAAGTTATACCTAAAATTTTTTTTTTTATTTTCAAAATTTTTTCCATGCTATTTCCATACGAAGTTTGATTGAATTGCGCACTATCTCAAACGTATTATTAAGAGCTAAAACTTTCAGAGAATTGTTTTTCATCAATTTGGAACCATTTGAGCCCTTGGAAGCAAGGAAATTCGAAAATGTTCATATTAAGGGACACACTAATATATATATATATGGTAACCCCCGTATAACGCGGTGGTTACGTTCCAACAAACTAGCGTGTTATGCAAACCCATGTTATATGGAATAAAGGACTAGTACAATATAAGGGGTTGCATTCCAAGAACTCAAAAAAATATGCTACATATTATGATTTTATGATAAAAATTATTTTATTTACTAAATTTTCTTAATTAATAGACATTAAATAAATTATATGATATTTTTTTCGTTATAACTAACAAGTAAGTGCTATCCAATTGTTTACTTTTCTGTACTACCTTTATTTCCATGTTCCATTTTTTGCAAAAAAAATGATATTTTCAATTGATGACTTTTAGTAAAAAAATATTTATATTTTTTTTTCAATTTTTGAACCGTGTTTAGCAAACCCGTGATATAAGAATACCGCTGTTATAAGGGAGGCAAATCCGTGTTATATGAGTACTGTGTTATACAGGGGTTACATGTATATATATATATATATATATATATATATTATATTTAATTTTCATTAAATTTTAATATATTTAACCTACCGAACTAAATGGATCAAAAGATTCTTCAATGGGAGTTATTTCTGGAGTTCCTGTTTCAATTACATTTGCCGAAGACGGTACATCATTAGAATTTTCTGTTGCATGAACAGTCAAGAAATCCAACTCCATTTTTAATTCTTTTATTTCTATTTCATCTCTGTAAATATATATTACTTTGTAAAATTATACTAAAATATGAAGGTGACTTTATATAAGTAAACCTTATAGTAAATAATTCTTCAATAGCGTCGTCGTCGCAAAATAAAAGTGCGAAATCCAATGCTTCAAGTCTAATAGAAGTCAGAAGAGAATTTCCTTGGCGTGCAAGTTCTGCTATAACTCGCCAATGTAAACCATGATTGCCATTAATTAATCTTTGACAATATGACCAAGACAAACTCCAATTACATTTCTAAAATTGTTGGCATAGATTTTTTATTTAATTTATATCTAACATTGAAGAGGTATTTCAGTCTTGAAAGTTTAAGAAATCATTTGTTTTATATTTGCAAAGTTAATTTAATGTGTACAAGATGATTTTTTTCAATTCAATTTAATTTTTTTTCGGATACATTAAAACAGTTTGATGATAATCCTCCTGTGTGTAATAAAGCTTTAAAATTTATAAATGCGCATTTCTCAAAACTGTCTTTTTCAAAATAATACCAATGATTTCTCAATTTCTACTAAACTGATATACTTGAAATTGCTATAAAATTTACTTTATACACAAAATAGTGATCACTCTTAAAAAATTATTTACAACTTTGTTTTAATATTCTAGATATTTTTTAAATAGTAATGTGGTTCATACAAATGTGACACTATTATATTTTAATAAATTTTCTTTTCTTCAGATTATTTGGAAGACTTGATGAATTGAATTGAGAATAAAAAAAACTTTGCCTTTTTTAAGGCCTTTGTAAAATTGCATACATTTATGCCTTTAGACCAGAATACCTCCTTAAAATATCAAATTAATATAATTAGCTTTAAATAATTAATTATAATTACTTGTAAAGCATCTTTTGTTAACATTTGAAGCACCGCACCCTCTCTGCGTTTTAAATCATCTTCATATATTCTCAATCTTCTTGCCAACTCCATTAATTCTGCATCAACTGAATAATTATGAACAATATACTGAGGATATTTGATGCTTCTATTTTTATTTTCTGCATGATCCAAGCAAGATTCAATGAGTCTTAAGCGATCGGAGCACAGTCTAACTGTAAAAGTTAAATGTATTTTGACACAAATATTTGTGATTTTACTTAAATAAATTATGTAATTGCTAATTGCTGAAGTGTCCAAAAAAACTTTGATACAAAAATAGCAAAAAAATCGCTATTTGTTTTCATATATGATATCATATGGCAAATTATTCTTAAACAGCATTTATATGAAAAAATTGGCGAGATACGAGCATGGTTATGGAACGAATTAATTAAACTCGACTGTAGAATATATTTTAATATAATAATATATTCCATATAATATCATTTAAGACAATAAATTATATTGTGTATTGAATAAGTTATGTGAAATTGCTATTACCTTGAATAGGCAAAATTGGAACATGAAAATCATGAAGAATCCTTATTGCTGCAATCAAATCCAGTTCTTCTTGAATTTCTTCATGCTCATCAATAATTAGCATCAAACATGTTCTGAAAAACAAAAAATATATTTAAATAATTTATTTAATAACATCTAAAGGAGCAGTAAAACTCATAATCTTTTTTCGGCTATCATATTTAAAATAAACTTATGGGTTCAATATAAGTGGCATTCAAATAATAATTAATTCTGTTTTATGTATTGAGGTTTATAGTTTCTATATAAAACTCTTAATAAAACAGTTAGAATTAAAAAGTAATATAATACATTATAAAATTCACAACTTCTATACAATTATTTAATACTATTAACATAAACCTTCTGCTGAGATCAAACATACTTTGTTTTCTCTTAGATTAATTTCCTGATATTTAAATCATCTAAAAAATTGAATCTTAATATGTTATTTTTATTGCCCCTAAAATTTTTATTGAAAATTATTAATATTTATTAAAATGTTTTTACACATATTACTATTATTAAAATATATCCAAAAATTATGGTAATTTCTATACATACTTCGAAAGTTCCATGTTTCTATCATCTAGACTCCTAGAGGAATCAAAATATTCCCTAGCTGCTTCTAAGACTAATTTGACACTAACATCATATGGAATTTTAATATCTTTATTATCCCTTGTCATGCTTGAGCAATGCATAATATCAGCTGCTGATTTTATGTCAACTTTACTTCCACATAACAATAAAGTTCTAACATACAACTAAAAAAAGATTAACAATTAAATTAGCAGCAATTAATTAATCTTTTTAAAACAATACATTTCTTGGATATGATGCTATTTACCTCGAAAACTTTTTCGATATCAATGCATGTGAGTATAGTTTCTTGAAGATAGATTAAGTCACTTAGAAGCATATTCCATTTTATTTCTAATGGATGCCTAGTAAAAAAAAATATCATAAACTTGAACCAGTTGAAGAATATGCTATATATATCTCACATTTTAAGTACACTTCTAGCCATTTGTTCCAATAACTCCAAAGATTTCAACTCGTTGTTTTTAGATTCATGCAGTTCTTTAGTTGATAGAGGTATGTTACGAACGTGAAACAGCTTTGAGCACTGTATCTCTCCTTCGAGATTAGCAAGAAACTTTGACATTGGATGTTCCTCAGGTCTACAGAAAAATATGAAAATCCAAGTTAAAAATTAATATGCTATTTGTAACCATGAATAAGATCACTATGCAAAAGAATTGCAAGATATGTAAAAATATAGTGCTAAAATATGGAAATGAGATATACATTGAATTTTATATTGCATAAAAAAATATTTTCAACATTCATATTACTAATAAATTATATACATATTAATATATTAATTTTATAATATATCACATTTTCCACATATAATTATTTTTTTCTGAGAGTAGAGCCTCTCCAATTATAAGCAGTATTTCTATTGACAATATTATATTATTACTATTTATACTTTCTCATAATATGTAATTAATTTACTTGACTCTCGCAATAAATAATTGTCCTGTATTAACCAATAACCAAGTAGGAACAATCAATTACATTTTGATATATGTAACAAAATAATATCACACAGTGTTAAAGACAGTGTATCATATTACTACATATGAATAATTTTATTTTATGACTACTCACAATTCAGGAAGACATTCTAATATTAGACCAGCTAACTCAATTTGATCTATACGATCCCCTTTGTTCTTATAAATACATTTTGCTGCTAAATTTATTTTATCTTCCAGTGATAGATTCAGCTTTGTCACAACACCATACAATTTTGATGATTTTCTAAGATGCTCAAAATACTAATTGAAAAAAAAAAAATAAAGTAAAGAGCCCATGAAAATATTGCACAATTGAAAAAATCTTATAAATTACATTGAACAGTGTCAGTGTTATTATGTTTTTTATAAATATACTTTTAAAATCTCTCTTTATCCAGTTCGTATAAAAGAATTAAATAAATTATACAGAATGCTTATATATAAGTACATAATAATAATAATCAGTCCATGAGCAGACAATGAGATAAACTCCAACTTGAATCAGTTTCACACCGCAATGCTTAAATGAGCTGTTTTCAGTTGGAAACATATTTTTTATGCATAAGTACAAGTGGAAATAAATATTCCTATGATATGATACCAATAAAAAATATTAATTTACCAAAAAAGAAGGAAAAAATAAACAAGCCAAATCAATAAATACCTGAAATGCCCACATGAGATCTTTTTCACTTAGATGTAATAAATATTCTTTCAGATATTGCAGTTTTTCCTCATTATCATTTGTTCTATGTATATACGGCAGATAAATATTGGTCAGATTATCTATAAATGTGGTTTCACTAGCCTAAAGAAATAAATTTGTATATATATATATATATATATATATATATATATATATATATATATATATATATATATATATATACATATATGTGAGTGTGTGTGTTTATTATTTAACCCTTCCCACTCGGAACCGGTTCGGATGCTATCTAACAGCAATTCGGCGCCGCATTCTGACGAAAACGTATCTGCTATAAACTTGATATTATTGTGTAGGTTATGCAATATGTTTTATATGAATTTGTGGATATTGAAGAATATACACACAAATATATACAAGATATATAAATTTATTTTATGTAGTATGTTAAAGTTTAATGCAATTTCCAAGAGACATAGCAATGTGATTCCAGTTTCTTTATAATTAATTAGCGTCATGACAGTATTTTGATCTTTCCACAGAAAAGTTGTAGTAATATATCGTAGTAATATAAAGTGTAATATATTGTTTTTAATATGTATCTGTCTTTTTTGATAAAATGTTTTTTTTACGAATTGCTTGATCGTTTTTCTGTATATATATAAAATATATATAATAAAAAAAAGTCTAAAAAACACTTTGAAAATAGCTAATTCTAAATTTTGCCAAAACAATATGGTCGTATCACTGCATAGATTCATTCTAAGAATGAGCAACCATTTTAACTCACGGGTTGCATTTAATTTTTTAAATTTTATGGTCTGTCCGCACTTATTAATAATTTACAAAATTTGATAAACATTATAATATAAAAATACCGAATTAAAAAAAGTAAGTATTTCGTAAATTAATGCAACAAGAAAAAAATACATTATAATTAATTTATTGATAGAATGAAGTTGATGAAATAAATAAAATTCTACTTTAAAAATGTTTGGTAGGTTGCAGAAAAATATTTAAAGAGCTGTATAAAAGAGACACAACCGAGAGGAAAAGGTTAATAATTAGAATGCATTTTAGATACAACAAATAATATATACCTTAGTCATTAGCCATGTGCCTCTTTGTATCTTTGTACTTTGTTCTATGTCGGATAAAGAAACATTATTGAGTCTAATTTCATATATAAGACAGTCTAATGTTTCTAAATCAAAATGTAAATTTTCCAAATTCTGTAAATATAAGAGCATCCTTAATTCAAATAGCTCTAAAATAGTTTATACATATATATGTATATATATATATATATATATATATATAATTATAATTCTTTTACATAAATTTACATAGTTTTTATATAAGTATTAATTTAATGCAGGCAGCATTGCAACAAAAAACACAACATTTGGCCAAATGTTATTTTAATTGGCTTGGAATTAATTGTAGAAACTAGAATTAGATGTATAAAATTTATACTAAACCTGAACATTCTTTTCCATGGCTATATTCATCAATTTTAATGCATTGTCTACAATGCCAGTTCTCTCTTCAATTTCTCTAGCTCGAGAAACATGCCATTGAGTAATTTTGGAAGAATCTAATGTACCTCGATATTGGCTCAAGTTTGGAGATTCAATATATAGCCAATCAGAATTATTAAATTCCGAATTAAGTAAGAGCTCGTGTAGTGAACTATGTACAATAATGTTCAAAATATATATATATATATATATATATATATATATATATATATTAAAGTCTAATAATCGGGCATAACATCAATAAAAAACATGAATTTCTTTCAAAAATTTATTTTAAATCCATACGTTTCGGCTATAATCCTAGCCTTCATTCAGTGGAAAAATTAGTTGATCTTAGTGTTAAATTAGAAAATTTTAATAATCCATGGTATTAGGATATGGTAATGCACTACACTATGTATTATAAACATTAACTTGAAATTACAACAATATTTTCACAAGATACTGATTTGAAAAAATCACAAATGTATAGTGTGTTATTCGTAGACTGGTTGAAGATGTAATTCATTCAACACTAAGATCAACTAATTTTTCCACTGAATGAAGGCTAGGATTATAGCCAAAACGTATAGATTTAAAATAAATTTTTGAAAGAAATTCATGTTTTTTATTGATGTTATGCCCGATTATTAGACTTTGTTAATACATATGTCAACATCAAATTCAGAATCATACAATATATATATGCAAATATATATATATTATATATATATATTATATATATATTATATATATATATTATATATTATATATATTATATATACAATATATATATATGCAAACATATATAAATTTTTAAATATTTTAAATAATTAAATTGTAAATATTTGATCTATGATCTTTTAAATCAAATAAATGTTTACATAAAAAGAAAACAAAAGCATAATAACTAAATTCATTCAAATTGGTAAACTTACCGTAGACATTCTGCTTCACACCAATCACTGCTTCGTATAATTTTTTGATCAAATTTCATTGGGCATCCATATGTGTTGCAAAATGGTAATAAACCCCTAATAAAAAAAAAGAATATTTTAAGGGTTGGGCATAAGCATTGTAATATATTTTATAAATATATAGCATCTATCTAAAATATTTGCTAAACTTGCCTAAAATCAGAAGGATCCATTGTTTCTGGCAGATTTGAAAGTAAAGGAAAGATATGGTCTTGCAATTCATCTAAATGATATGTAAATAAAATCATCAGTGATTCACAAAAACCTTTTCTAGCATATTTTAATGCACAGTGTAAAATACTTGAACTTCTAAATTCGTTATATGAACTAGTTTCAAAATTATATTGATCATCCAGCATTTTCTATAATAAAATGTACTGCAATATCAATTATTTCATTAAGAATGGTATCTTCAACAATAAAAAACACTCACCTCATATACAAATAATCTATCAAGATATTTTAAAATGAGAATTCTATATCGAAGCAGTTCCTTCTGTGTCTTGCTCACTTCATTTATATTAATGTTTTCCAATAATTTAGCTTCGCTTTGTTCTGATTTATTTATTTCTATCCAGGATTTATTAATGCTGTCCACTTCACCGTTTTCTGTAGTAATGCAAATCCAAGAATACATACAATAAATATAAAAGATATATACATAATATAATAGTTAAAAAGTATAATGCTTTCATTTTTTTTTCTTTCATTTCAGTAATATGTATTATACATCCTTTGCAACATTTATTAATATCAATTCAATATTAAATCGATTAAATGCTTCTTATCAAAAACAAAAAATTTTTTTTACTAACCTTCATTAATAAATATATCAATGTCAGTTATTTGCAAACCAAATTCCAGCAATTCACGCATTGATTCCATAGAATCGCTTAGTCTTTCAACACACTGCTGCAAAACCCACCACCTTACTTTGATTTTGCGCTGAAATAATATATATATATACATAGATATAATTCAAAGTTGCATTATAAAAACTCTAATATTTGTTCCATATATTAAAAAATTATAATAAATTTGATCGAAAAATATAAACTTGATGTTAAAGTAAGGACAAGATTTTAAATTTCTTAAGAGCGTATTCTGGTGTGGAATTTTTTAAAATTAGATTTTGTTTTTTGAAGTAAAAAAAAAGTCTTTAGGCGCGACTAGTGTGTAAATCTGTGAGAATGCAACGAAAATAGCGTTACGCCCGAACTGTACGTCATTCGCTTTCGATGAAATCATTTCTATACGGGTCTATTGTGATTAGTCGTCATGTCGTTGTATGCGTACCAATATCGACAAAGAAATCAGCATGGATAAATAAACATGGATTTAATAAAAAATGCTTAAATCAGAAGAATATTTTACCCTGTTCCCCGTAAATAATTATAATAAAAATAATAAAACAAATGAAACATTTGCGCCGTGTACTAAACGTAAGTTTATTGAAATAATTTCTACATTATTCGTAGTTTCTATAAATTTTTGAAGTTATTAAAACGGAAAATATTTTTTAGGCAAGACAGATATTACAGATGCTCAAAGAATGAGATTATATCGCCAGCGAAAAAGTAAAAAAAAATACAAGCAGGCACAATTATTACATGATGAGTGAAATTGTGAAAACAATATTTCTTTAGGCTTTACTGAACATAATCCACTGAGTGAACGAATATTATAGAATTTATTAATCAGCAATTACTTCATTTCTCTAATGAAGATTCAAGTCGTAAATGCTAATCACAATGACAAACCGATCATGTCGTATTTGAAGTATGACTTTAATTACATTATAATATATAATTTATTATTATATAAATGTGTATAATGGTCGACACTAATAAATGTGTGCATCACGAATGTTACGATATTACTAATAAACATTATTCAAAATTGTTATATGATGTATTTATATATGGCATCTCATACAATAGCAAAAAAGTTTTATTTCAATCGCGCGTGAACCTTACGCTCACTCTTTTTTTTTTTTTGATATTTTGAAAGTTCAAGAATATGTGCTTTAGAGGATTATTCAAAATTCAAATTATTTTCGAAGACATAGCTGTTTGACCACGACAATCCTCTTACATTTCTTTCCTACGCAAAACTTTAAGCGCGCTTTTCTCGAAACTGTCTCTCTCGATACAATACACACGTTTTCTTTTCTTCTACTGGACTCATCCTCAAATTCCTATTATAACTATTTTTAAAAGTCCGAGATAATCGAAAACAAGTTGCATTTTTTTTTCAGACGGTCGCTATTTTGCAAAAAAACATTTTTTTTAATTGTCGTAATTCATGCGATAGCGATATTATTTTAGATTAATAATACATAAATATATATTTCTACAGATTATTTGGAAAGCTGACCCCACACTTCTGTTTTTAAACTTTTTTTTTCTGAACGCTAAAAACATTAATTTATAACTCGAAAAAAAAAATAGTATAAATATTGGATTTTTTTACGGTCTTTCAAAAATTGCATAAAATTCATGCCTCCAGAATACCCCCTTAAATCAATATAAAATATATTATAAATATTTATCAAAATATGTAACACTAAATTAGGCAATTGTAAAAAAGAAAACAATGTAAAGATCATTTTAAATAATTCTCTGAGACTTACTAAATAATCATCAATGCTTTGCTTGCATACATTAGAGTTTAACCACTGACGCTTGTATACGAGATCTGTATCTAAATTATACTTATTAGCCAAAACTAAAGCTTCATTATAATCTTCTGCATCTATCTATAAAATATATTAATAAAAAATGTAAGTTTTATACATATTTTTCACAAACAAAAAATATAATATAGATTTCTTATACATTTGTTTGAAACAAATACACATTTTTGTTCAATTATGAACTCACTATCATTGAACACAGCATATAGTATATAATTTATATTTTGCTTACCTTTCTATTGTACAATTCCTCTGGAGTTGAACTTTTCAAACAAATCAACCTGTATGTACGAGTGATTTGTCTTGGCATTTGAATAGCTGGACGAAACCTGTATAATAAACAACAATAGTAAGTTGAATTAAATAATGAAAATGCTGTTGAAAAAAACATCTATTTACTAAAATTCAAACCTTATTTTCAAATGAAAAAAAAAATTGCATTCAAGTAGCGCAAAAAAAAGGATAAAATCTTGTTGACTTTTTCTCATTGTATTCTCATTTATGAAAAATTATGATGTACTTATTAATATTATGAATTAATATGAATTTTAATAATATTAAGAAAAACAAATTAAATAATACTTCGTTTTCTTTACTTTATCGCATAACTAAAATGATTTTAATAAAATTTGTCCACTTTTTAACTTCCCGTAGGGTAAGTTATAGTAATGGGCCGAAAATCAAAAATGAAAAATTTTGCTTATCTTCATGTTTCAGAGGTTTTTGAAGATTTTGGCATACCTCAGAAAAAATGGATGTGTGTACGCATTTTTTCGTTCACGTTTTCGAGCGCACAGATCAACGGATTTGAATGGTTCATCAAAAAACATTTGATTCCTATTTATAGGGAGATGTGCTGATTAGTTTTTGATAAAGGCAGGTCCAGCCGTTACAAAGATATGGAGCAAAGAGTGCAGAAAGTAAAAATCGAGATTTAGAGAGAACGGAGTATCTGATTTGAATGATCCAAAAAATATTCAATTTGTAATGATTGGAAGAAGTGGTGATTAGTTTTTGGCAAAGGCAAGTCCAGCCATTTCGAAGATACAGAGCTAAATGTACAAAAAATGGCAATTTTTAAGAGAACTAAGCATCCGAATTGAATGATTCAAAAAACTTCCTGCTTGTGTTGACCTAACAATTGCTTTAAGAAAAAAAATTATTTCAATTTTCAGAAACTTAAATAGAATCGAAAATATAAAGAAAAAGCAAATAAATCTGTATTACTTACTTATCTATATCAGTTACAAGATAGAGAGAATACTTTATCATATTGATTACATGATCCAGAAAATACTTTGGCTGTTGAATATCATCTAATGGAGTGTCTTCATCAATGCTATCTAATGATAGATCCTAAAAGGTTTTCATAAAAATTACAAGCGCAAAACAACATTTATTGGCTTATTTATTATCACTTACAACAGGATCCTGAATACTTCTTCTACGTTTATTATAAACAGACTCACATTCCAGAGTTATAAAACCTTTATTGTACAACATTGGTGATACCTATAATGAAGTTGTATTTATTAAAATAACATATAATTCTTGGAAATACTGTTAAAAACAAAAATTTTATCATTGAAAAAAAATATATTTATAGAATGAAAAAATTATATTCATTGGCATTCATTTTTGTTGCAAGTTATTTGAAGATTCTACTTTTAACAATAGGATATTATATAGTAATAAAAATAAAATTTTATTCATCATTAAAGTGAAAGTTACCTGTGGCTGTCCCAATAAAAATTCTGGTGTATTACCTAAGAGATTTTTTAAATCCATGACAGAATTCACACTTATGGCACCACTGTATCGAGACAAAATAATTGCCTGTTGTAGAATATAGTTTCATTAAAAAAATTTTAAATATTTCATTCAAAAAATTTCTTACTTCTTCATTCCACCAATTAATATCAATAGGTGATTCGATTGGCATTTTTTTAAAATTAACCCCTTTGTAAAATTTCTTGTTTTCTAGCATGGGATGAGGAATGTTATAATCAGGCTGATCAACAAGTCGCCAAATATTATATAATCTGTAAGATAAGTAAGGATTTTATATAAATTTGTTGCTACAATATTACATATATTAGAAGATAAACCTTAAGGATGGAATTTTCCAAATAGATATTGTACCACAGCTGTGCAGACAACCTAATAGATTTCCACTGTTTGATATATTGAATTTATATATAATTCCCTGAAAATAATGTTAACTATAAATAACGTTTTTCAATTGTAGAAATTTTTTGACGACAAATTGTGATAAAATAATCAATTTAAAGAATAAACACAACTTCTTTATAACCACTATATTTAAAAAAATCATGTGTTTTAATGGTATTGAACTGTAATTGTAGAAACTCATTTTAATTAAACAAAAAAGAACATATAGATAGTCAATCTATGTGCTAGTCTTTATGACTTTGAGATGTTTATCTCGATTAATATATCTCTATTTGTTTTTTACCAAATAGTACACTTACAACTACTTTTTGTGTCCAAGCTGGCCACTGTCTGCAAATATCACTTGAAGATTCTTGTATACTTTCATTTAATTTATAATAAGGAGAATCATTCAAAATTCGCCAGCATGACAAGCCTAGACGAGATCCACTTTCCTATGATAAAAATCATTTTAATAAATATGAAATGAACAGTAGTTTAATAGTTTTCTAATATTTTCAATTACCAAAAGTCCTTTGGAACCAAATTCTTTGTTACCACTTCCGCTTATTATTATAAATGAATTAGTTGGATGTAATGCAACAGCTGATATTCCATTCTTATAATAAGATTTAAAGCTGAATTTATGATTCAATTTATACCCATCTGTGGGTGATAGAAGAAAACTGCGTAAATTTCCATTAAAATCAACAATTAATACTTCAGCAGACCTAAAACAGTAAAATCAATGTTATTTAAGAACTTATAGTTTTTGTATTTTTTTTACCATTTATATTCCTGAACTCGATTTTGAAGAAATATAAGACCACACACTGCATGTTGTATTTCCTTGCACCCCGGTGAAGATGAACATTCCTAAAAGATCCGAAATAAAGTACTGACAATAAAATTATTAATAATAACATACAATTTAAGTTTTAAATACTTACAGGCAATATACTAAATATTTTACACCCCAATAAATCATAAAAATTTACAACTCCATTACTGCTTGCAATAGCTAAAATACTGCAATCTGGTGTCCACGCCATTCGCCTCCATTGCGGCCACTCGTCCAATTGAACTAAAATAATCATTAAAATTATGATAAAAAACATATTTAATAATCTCATTGAATTTAATGCAATGTTCATTATTAGTAAGAATAAATCACAAAAACTATATAAATAATCTGCAAAGTAAAATGTTCATTATAATTTTTCATGTCTGGCTATTCAGATATGTATTTCTAAAATTATGCAAAGTACAAAGTAACATACTATAATAACCAGTCATGAATATTTTTTAAATCTTAAATTTAACCTTGGTATATGGTAAAAATCTACTGATTTTTATGTAATATTTGTGGTACAGTCACATAAAATATTTTAAATATAAGTATCTAACTCATTAAATATATGATTTCTCATAAAAAGTTGTTATAAATATTTCTTTGAATGCCTGAATAACAATATTAAAAAAAAAACAAAGAATCCAAAAATAATAGAAAGACAAATTAAAGATTACCAGTTGCTTTTCCTATAACAGAAGAATATTCATCTTTTGATGATCTTATTTCTAAAGAAGTATCTTGAAGTATAGCTATTACTTTTCCATTTTCTCCAACACAAAATTGCCAAGGAAGAACACAACCGACATGTCTGCATGACAATTAATACATTCATATAATATCATTAATCAACTTTAATTATACAATTACATGCTCTAAGCAACTCACTCGTATATTATTTCTGGTACAGGTACTCTCGAGTTAAATAAATTAAGAATTCTATTTAAAACTGATGTTTTGGGTATGAAAAGAGTTGTATCTGGTTTCTAAAAAGTATAAAACATTATTTTCATTATAAAATTAAAAGTTTAAATAGAGTAACTTTACAATTTGTTCAGTATGTTTCCATTCTGAATATACAAGCAGCTCATATAAAATGCTGTCATTAGGTTTTTCGTTCAATGAATTTTCAGTTATTTGGTACATCTCTGTTTTTTATTTCTTGCTTATAAACAATCGACAAAAATAATATAGTGTAATTGATTTTGAATTTATCATTTCATATTTATTCCAGAAAACCTCATTGTCATCTCAAGTGCATGTGGCACTTGTCATCTTTCAAAAATGTATCGAAAGAATTAAAATTCGATGCAACTAAACTTAAACCAGGAGACTTAACTAAATTAATATCTCGTATAAGTTTGGTGTAATAACTTAATATATTTGATATATCCAATAAAAATTAATAAAACAGTACAATTTATTGCAATATTTTTTTAGTGACACTGACAGGACATCTATCTGTCAAATCTTCCCCAACACGTGCTTGGGATATATTCTTGTTAACGTTTTGTTTAGATATTTATTGAAACATAAAATTTATTTTGCTATTATAAATAATAAATATGCCGAAAGTAAAAACAGAAAAAAAGAATCGTATTCATCAAGATGTTGCAAAACAAGGTAACTTGTATTTTTGTTTGAATACGTAAATAAGGTTAGGTATATGAAATGGACAAAATAATATTCCAGCATATCATTAAGAAATATTTTTCAATTTTAGTATATTCAAGAATTACAGTAAAGATATGAACATTCAAAGTTTTGCTATTATTTAAATATTTCAATTATTAATGTATTTCTTTATTGGCAGGTATACTATTTAACAAAGACTTTGGTCAGCACATTCTCAAAAATCCCTTAATAATTACTGGAATGCTTGATAAAGCTGCATTAAGACCAACGGACGTGGTGCTAGAAATTGGTCCTGGTACAGGAAATATGACTGTAAAAATATTAGAACGAGTTAAAAAAGTTGTTGCTTGTGAAATTGACCCTAGACTAGTTGCTGAATTACAAAAACGTGTTCAAGGAACACCATATCAACCGAAACTACAAATTCTTATAGGAGATGCACTAAAAGCAGAACTACCCTTTTTCGATATCTGTATTGCAAACGTACCGTATCAAATTAGTTCACCTCTAGTTTTTAAGTTATTATTACATAGACCATTCTTTCGTTGCGCCGTATTAATGTTTCAAAGGGAATTTGCTCAACGACTTGTTGCTAAACCTGGTGACAAATTATATTGTAGGCTGTCGATAAATACTCAATTACTGGCTCGGGTGGATATGTTGATGAAGGTAATTTTCTCAATTATACAAATCATGTACTTTTCTTGCATGTGTTATAAAATTGAATTGAATATTTGTTAATTTGTTGATAGGTGGGCAAAAACAATTTTAAGCCACCGCCAAAAGTGGAATCTTCAGTGGTTCGAATAGAACCAAGGAATCCACCACCACCAATTAATTTCTCAGAATGGGATGGCTTAACCCGAATCGCCTTCATCAGAAAAAATAAAACATTATCAGCAGCTTTTAAACAATCTTCTGTTATCGAAACACTGGAAAGAAACTACAAATTACATTGTTCCCTGAACAATATAGTAAGGAATTAATCATATATTAAAAAATATATATATATACAAATACAATTATATTAATAATATCTCTACATACTTAGTTACCATCAAACTAATATAATTTTGTAATCTAATATATTCTAATAATAATTATATTTTAATAAATTTATAGAGTGTGCCACAAGATCTAGATATGAAAACTAAAATCGAGTCAATATTGACTGAACAAAAAGCTGATCAGAAAAGGGCGCGGACAATGGATATAGATGACTTCATGGAAATACTTCATGCATTCAATGCAGATGGCATACATTTTGCATGATATGTGAATTAGATTAGAATTAAAATAAAAAATCATATTGGCATAATCATAATTGTCTTAATTGCACTTATTTACAATTACCCTAATCACTTAAAAATTTATATCCTCTTGGAAGTTTGATTCATCAGTAACATTAATTTCTGATGATTCAGACTCGTCAAATGTATGACCGTTTGAGTTTGGCAGGTTGACCGTTATCGGATCATCTGCAGCTGAAATAGGATTATGATAATAAGAACTACCTACTGTATAATTAAAATCATGTGAACTTTCATTAAATACGGAAGAATCAATAAATGGATTGTCATTACCCATGTTGTCATCTTTCTTCACCACAACACTTTTTAATTTACACTTCTTTTCTCTGCTAGAACTGCTATTGCTGCTTGTGTCATGTTCAGTTGTTGAGCTGCTTTCATAGGTTCGCTTTTCATTACTACTCCTATTACCTGTTTTACTAGAGCTGGCAGTACCATTTCGAACAAGTGATTTCCCTTTCTTTGAATTAAGCTTTTTCTTCTTATGTCCATGATCTTCGCTATCCGAGTCGGGTTTCCTATTTTGCTGACCATCTTGAAATCGCTTTAGCAATATCTCAGACATAGATTTTTGGTATGCAGCTAATGGCAAATTAAAATCAGAATCACTATCACTACTACTTCTATATGCTGGTGGTGATTTAGGCCTTGTTCTAGAAGCAGGAGGAAATTTCCGTTTTCTATTCCAAGCTCTGCTAGTGCTTGGTTGATTTAGTTGAGATACATTGTTATTATCTGACCAGTTCGAGACACTACTTCTCTCAGCTTCACTATGAACACTTACAACATCTGTGTCATCATTATCTGTATCCAGTGTTACTAATTCTGGGGTTCTATCCTGAGGTGGTTTAACAACACCAGTAATTACACAGGCATCAGAATCATCATCACTACTAGTTGGTGATATAGTCTCAATAGAAATAAATGAATCCAGTCCATTGTTTTGTGAATTTGATGAGTTATCTACTCTGGGTTCAGATGTTAGCATGACTGAAGTGCTTTCATCATTCACATATATCACGGAATCATCATTATTAACCATTAGATTAAGAGCAGGAGTAGCATCTGGTGAAATAATTCTAACATCAGAATCATCTGAATCAGAAGAACTGCTAATTACACTCGGCGTGGTGCCCATAAGATATTCCTCTGATACATATTGGACATCTCTATCATAACCTATCATATCAAATGGTGAGCGGGCAAATTGATAGAATTCATGAACAAAATGATCGGTATTGTTAGTAAAATATGGCGAGATAGCTGATCGAAACTGAGCAGAATTTATATCATGAACTGGAATGAGTTCTGATATAATACCCAAGACATAACTCATATGAGGTTGATTTTGGTTTAAAAGTACTTTCAATTCTCGATCTAGCCATGGCATTAGTCTATGCTTCTGTGCTGGATTATTCCTAAAACAATAAAAACATTTGTCAGATTAAATTTTGTTAGAAACTTTTCACTGAGTATTTTATTATTTTTCTTTGATGACTTATTCTATTATATCAATCTTCAATAAATGCAAAAATATCATAACTAACTCTAATTAATTCATTAAATACTCATTATAAATTTGTTAAACTAAACACTTATGCTGTAAAAATGTTTACAAAATATTTAAACTAAAAATTTATATCATAAAAACACTTATAAATTTGTTAGACTAAATTCTTATAATGCAAAAACACTTTTAAATTTGTTAAACAAAATGAAAAAATACTAAATTTGTTAAAAAAAAAATATACTTAAAATGTAAAAACCCTTAAATTCATAAAAAAATCCTTATATTTTTAAATAATAAATTAACTAAAATTAATAAAAAATAAAGAAATATATAATAAATGAATTAAATAATAAATAAATAAATTAATTAATTAAATTATATAAAAATATGTGACATATATATAACATGAGCCTTGTTTTAATAATATCATTCTACAGACGTCTTATAAAATAAATAAATTAAATTAAAAAAAAATACTATTGTGTCTGTCATTACAAAATGCATTTAAGTAACAAAAAATTCTACATAATAGCATACTTTTGCAAGTTTATCATAATAAACTAAAAATAATAGAATGTTTAGGTCAGGATCTTGTTTAGAGTTCACTATAAATATAAAGCAAACAAACCTATAAAAATGAGCTGAACATTCTCTAAAACGTCCAGTTATATCAGGCAGAGGAGTAGCCCATAAATTACTTCTATAAACGACTGATCTGAAATCACTGCCAGCTTGATTACTATGTCGTGCGCGCCTTAATGAAGTATTCCTGACAGAGACATCAAAAAATGGATTACTAGAAAGCATAAAACTATTGGTCAAAGGATGATCCATTAAATAATTCTGTAGAGCTATTTCTTCCTGTCGTTGAATGTTTAAAGTAGTCCTGAAACAGATAATGCATTGAAATAAAATTTGGTAACAAACATTTATACCGTTTAAAACCGTTTAAAATATTATAGGTCTATGAGAAGTGGTTTAATGAGAAAAATTAATTAAAGTTTTGAAAAGTAGACCGTGTGCAATACGTATCAATTTTTGTTAATAAAATATATGCTATGAATTATTAATTATAAATATGTTTACAATATTTAACTATTCAATCATAAAAACACTATTTATATAAATATATATATATATATATATATATATATATATATATATTCTGTTGAACCTTATTTAATTCTGTTTAATTTTCTTCATAACTAACTTATTAGTAAAAATTAACACTTGTGCCAGACAGTCGAAAAGTTCGTTTTCATAACTTGTGCTAATTGTCACCGAATTGAAAGTAAAAGTTCAAAATTATGAATGTGAGAGACTATATTTTAAAGTGCATTTGGAAATTTTTATTCAACACTTTTCTCATTCATAACGTATTGCTTCCTATAAACATACTTCTTGTATATATGATTTTCACATATTTAGTAGGTAGCTGTAATTTGCTTATCAAAGCAGAAAATTTAATAAACAGATATATTTTTTGAAAACATGGGCAATCTGAGACAAAAAATCTAAACCCAACACAAATATTGTTTTTAGAAAAACCTGGGACGCGAGATGAAAACCAGAACTGTCCCTGCCAAAACAGGATGTACAACCACCTAAATTTTTCAAAACTATCGATTCTATAATTAAACTACTTCTCATAGGCCTATATTATTTGATATGACTATCAACTCTAGCAGCATGCGAAGTTTCATCAAAATCCCAGAAGAGTAAACCTGAGGTTCTCCTTGTTAGATTACAAAGCAATTCGTTAATTAAGTTTAGAGTGTTCAAAGCAGATGATACAGTTTACATATATATTTTACTATAGAAAAAACATTGTACAATTCCAAAACATTTCCAAAAATGTAAGATTTTCAAAACTAGCATATATTCCACATAATAAAAAAAAAACAATATGCCACATTTAAAAAGTAAGAAAGAATGCAAATGCATACCTGAATCGATATCTTTGTCCAACACGATCAGCATGAGGAAGATGATAATTAGTAACAAGCAGCGGTTCTGCTATGGTAGTTATTGTAGGCCTTACTAAGTATTCTTCATAATCATCATTGGATCTTACATTATGAATTATAGACTTAAAAGATTGTTTGCATAAAGGGCATTCTGGTTTCACCTAGATATAACATCAACGACATAAAACATATTCACATATTGCAAACATAGATTTCACAATTGATCTACCTTACTCCACTGTAATAAACATGTAAAACAAAACTGGTGCAGGCATGAGTCCGTAAAGCATTTGTTTTTGCACTTATATAAACAAATAGCACAATTAGGAGGTGGTGAGGCCCTGTTATCAGCATTGTCCGATGCAACTGACAGTCTGCCTTCGTTCGAAGAATCATCTGAAGGATTAGGGCTTCCCGAATTCGATTTAAACGCCGGTAATCTTGTGGGGGTAGCTGGACATCCTTCCAAATGTGGAGGTGTCGGAGGACAATTGGAGCTCGATGACAAATCCATAATAGATTAATGGAATTTATATGCTTATCTGCAACAATCGACTGAATTTCTAAACTGTGCAGTGATTGACATGTCAATTGGACTTTATCAAATATTGTTTCTATATTTTTAATTTAAACACCGAAATGTGACGTGCTCACTATTCTTTAATATGAAAATCATATGTAAACAATAAACACTATAATTTATATTATGAAATAATATGTCAAAAACAATTCACTCTATATCTTACACTGTATGGTTTTCGTAATGGAATGAATTTTTTTTCCTCCATAGATACTGGAACTGTGGTCATTCGTGTCCTTATGCACCCATCACAAGCGATCATATACGACAGAAAGTTAAAACCAAAATAGTGTTGATTTAAAAAATAATTTTTCCGACACGATACTTATTTTATTTAAAATAAATGACTCTATCTTTATAATAACGCCTACACTGACCAAAATAATTTTCGACGTTCCAAAAAAATTTGAAGGCGTATTTCGTGCGAGACACTATTATATTATTCTTAGGGAATTCTTATCTTATTTTTTTTTCATAAAAATAATATATAAAAAAGATAAGAACCGGGCATTTTTAAATAATAAAATCGGGAAATAAAATTAATATATAATAATAAAAAGCTGCAATTTGTTGTTGTACTAATTGAACTGGAATAATAAGCCTTATTATGCTTATTTATCTAGGAATAAGCCATAGACCTTATACAATACAAGGTCTATGGAATAAGCCCATAAGATGAAAACGTTATTTTGTCATGTGTGACTACCGCCTTACATTATATTATTTACCATAGAGCACGATGTAAACACATTTGACATTTGCGAACTGAACTTAATAATATAGCTACAAAAATTTTGAATGCATTCTTGTGTCGACAAGTATAAATTAATTTTTGTTTGTTTGTATTATAAGAAGAAGTAGTTTACGAATTATGTCTCTTTATGACGATTTTGATACACGGGAAAGAGCCGAAAAAGTAGCAGGCTGGTCTTCAGGCATTAAATTGTTACAATCTCAGTTACAACTTAAAAAAGCAACAATAGCTCAACCCAAAAAGGATACTTTAAGGAAATCTGGAAAGGTTTACATATAACAAAATAGTTAAATAATTTGTTAAGTGATAAAATTATGCTATTGACTCAATACTATGAAATAATTATTTTATTTATCTAAACATTATTTGATGTGATCATTCAATCTCATTATTTTTAGCCTTTCACTAGTTTTTGAAATTTATTTATTTTTAAAAAGTAGGAGAAGGCACATTAATACTTTTATTATATGCTCTTTATATAGATACTGGCACCAGTTATTGATTTAAAATCAAAACGAGATGACGAAGATATTTATCCAGCTAGCGAAAGTGTTGCAAAACCTGTTCCTGAAAAACCTCCTGTAATACCTTCTGCGTGTTCTCAATTGAATATTGACTACAATTTAGATATTGTTGATGAATATAATCCACTTTTTCCAAATGAATATGAAAAAGTCATAAAAGGTACTATGAATTTTTATTCTTTTTCATTGTCTCATAAAAACAATATAAATGGCAGAGACAACATTCTCATTCTCATATATATATATATATATATATATACAGTAAACCCTCGCTTTACGCGGCAAGTGGGTACCGTGCAGTATAGGAACCGTGCTATAAGAAACTCGTATTTAACATACAATTCAGGCTAATTCGTAGTGCGTTCTATGGAACCTTACATAGTGCAGTATGGGAACCGTGTTATGAGAGACTCAGAGTTGGTACAAATCGCACCATTTTTATCGCGTTGTATGGAGACCAAGAAATACAACTTGAAGTAGGAGAAATACGGACGAAATGACGTAAATGACGTGACGAAATTGACACCTTATTCAAAAATTGGCGCGACGCAGTAATCAGCTCAAACGTGTTCTTAGGCGGCTATTATACAATCAGGCATGTCTAAAAGATAAAAGTCGATAACAAAATTTACAACAATACCCTTTTGCACAACGAACTTATGGGCTGTTGACCAAATACCGTGTAATAAGAAGTCCGTGTAGTCGGAGGGATGTCGGATTTTTAGCTCCGTGTAGTATGGGAACCGTGTACCCAGAGTGCCGTGTAAAGCGAGGGCCTACTGTATATATATATAAATATATCACATGTAATTAATTAGAACCAAACTTGAATTTAAATTATTTGAACATATATCTAGTCTCCTAAAATTCACTTTTTTATCTATATATGGACGAGTGAGTGTTTAATACTTGAGGTGTATATATTATCTTTTAGTGAAGATTCATCTCAATTTTCTTCAAGAAGATAAATGTATATAAGTTTACTATTTTACCCTATAAGTAACTATTCGCAAATTTTATGCAACTACAGACATGTATCTTGTTTAGAGCGGAATTATGTTGCTGCACAGCTTTGCAGAGTATAAACAAAACTTCTGTAATTTTGGCAATCTTTCTCCTGCTTCTCCTTAAGCATTTTAAGAAATCATGTATGTAGGTTTCAACCGTTCAACCGTAGGTTCTTCACTTGACAGATTTTTAAGTAAGAAATGCATTATTCAAGGCACATCCATTTTCTGATATATCACTGTATTTAAAAGACAATATTAAGAGCTAAAACTTTCAGAGAATTGTTTTTTATCAATTTGGATAATTCGAAAATGTCCATATTAAGGACCACCCTAATACATATGTATATATAATGCAATAAAGACATTCATGTATCTAATTTTTATGATACATATTAAATACATGGTTTAATTATATTTGTTCATCTACATAGAATTAAGAGATTACAAAGATAAAGAACGAGGGAGGGACGAGTTGAAAAATGATGATAATGATAGAGATAGTAGGAAAAATTATAATAGGAAACGTAAAACCAGGTATAATTAAAAAATATAGTTTATAGCATTTTCATCGACTAAAACTACATATGTATTTTGCTTTTAATTTCTCAAGATTTGAGGAAGGTAACAGCAATGAGCCTGAAAAAAGTGGTTTTGCTCCCCATAATGATGTATCGGATGAGGAATCACCGCCAAGACAGCCAAGAAATGAATCAAATAGAAACTCAGGAGCTCAGATTGCACCTCCACCTAGTCTATTAGAAAGTGTAGAAACGAATACAACTCAAATACAAGAAAAACCATCATATGGAGTTCCATATGGCGCCAGCTCTGTCGCTGCAAAAATTATGGCCAAATATGGTTTTAAAGTGAGAATTAATCATTGGTTTATCTGCATGTTGAATAATTATTATTTCTATATTATACTTTTGAAATAGGAAGGGCAAGGATTAGGAAAATCTCAGCAAGGAATGTCCATGGCCCTACAAGTTGAAAAAACGTCGAAACGCGGTGGTCGAATAATTCATGAAAAAGAATTATCTGCTGTCATGCCACCTCCTGCTTTAAGCGGATTAGCTCAAATACCTCAAGGAGATGACAGTCCGACAAATGCAACAGCAACCAATCAACCACCAAAACAGGAACCATCCATAACAGAAATTATGAGGAGCCCAAGCAAAGTTGTTTTGCTTCGAGTAAGTATATATATTTCAGGTTTCATTGAAAATTTTTAAATTTTCAAGTATGCCTAAAAATGATTTTGATAAAATGAATTTTCATAATTGTTCATGCTATTGTATTGAATCAACAGAATATGGTTGGACCTGGAGATGTTGATGATGATTTAGAGCCAGAAGTTTTTGATGAATGCAATGGTAAATATGGAGATGTAGTAAAAGTACTGATACATGAATTACCAGGCGCACCACCTGAAGATGCTGTCCGAATATTTGTGGAATTTAAAAGAATTGAAAGTGCAATCAAAGGTAAGTAGATAAGTTGGGTTTAATTTCCCATTGAATAAAATTAATAAACAAATCGAAATATGAAATTATACAGAACTTTCAGAGTTAGTTTACAGAGTTAGTTTATTTTAAACAAATATAACATGTTTTATCAGTAATAATTGTAGTTTCACTCAACAGTTAATATCTGTTATGAGTGAATTTGAAAATTTGATCCTCCAAAAGACAGTTTAATATTACTTTTTTTGTGTCTCCGAAATGTACATAGTTGTGAGGGATCAAATGTTTTTAAACCAACAAAATTGGTTCAGCATTACACGTATTTATTAAATAAATTATATCATTTAATTCAGATATCCTCATTTTCCTTCTACAACATATACTTTAGGAATAAAAACTTTAAAGTAAGATTTTAGCTCACATGATGAATAATATAATTATATTAATGAAAATAATCTTTCATAATATTTACTATATTATTATAATTTCAGCTGTTGTCGACTTGAATGGTAGATTTTTTGGTGGCAGGCAAGTACGGGCTGGATTTTACAGTTGTGAAAGTTTTGCAAATTTAAAATTGTTAGAATAATTGCAAAGAAATATAACAAACTTTATATCTTTACTTTTGTTTTATTTAAAATTGAAATAATAAATACTAAACTTTAATAAAAAAGATTACTTAAAGAGTATTAAGGAATTATTTAATGATTATACAAAAATCATTTACATGGAGGAGGTATGTTTCCATCCTTAGAAACTATTTTACATACTTCACCCAGCAAGTCTTTTAATATAGCTGTCTGTGAACCTCTTGATCCATCAAGGAGAACTGTTGGTATAAATGTTATTGATGGGCTAAGTGCATCAGTAGCCTCGCCATGTTTCTTTAATAATTCAGACCCTTTTTTTGATATGGAACATTCAAGAATTGGTTCTGGATCAAATTCTAATGACCTGGCACACTAAAAATGTAATAAAATTCATTCAGTGTACTTTAATATTAAAAATATAATATCTCTATATTATTTTCCATTCATTTCATAATTAATGCCAAAGTTTCGAATCGAAATCTTTATAGGTTGTTCAAAAAGATATCAACTAAGAGAATCTTATTGTATGAAAAAATTAAAATTTTTCAAAAACAAGGCAATATTGTTAATTTAAGTTTAGTCTCTTTTATTACTAATCACACTAATTTGCTGCAGAGTTCATAAAAAAGGCTCTAATCAGTATAAAGCAGTTAGAAAAAAGAAAAATATATTATTATTATTTCATATTGAATCAAAAATCTATATTTTTAAGCATTTAATAATGTTTTATTTCATTATAATGAATTAACAAATTTCAGTATTAAAACTTGTTTGTGGTAACTGCATCATACTTATTATGTTTTTAGCATAAACTTTTATAATCTTAATAATTTTTGAAATCTATGATATAACACAATCAATTACTTTCGCTTTTCCATAAGGAATTAAATCATAATCTAAAATACTCTTAGCCTTAGTATATGCAGGCACCAGCTCATTAACCACAAATGATTTGGAGTCAGGACAAAGTGCTTCGTAAAAAACAGTAACTAATACTGGCACCCCAGATGCATCAGCAGTTTTGTTCTAAAATGAAATGTTAAATTTTATGTATTCAAGCATTTCATAAATAATCAGTACAACACCAAAAGTGACGTTTACTTATAATAATATAGTACTTTAAATATTTAATTTTTGTTTTAATCACTTTCAGTAGAAAACTATTAATATATTTAGAGATCTATAACTATTGTAACTGGACCCGACAATTTTGTTTGCAAACATGTTACTTTGCTGTTTTATTCAGCTGTGCTAATATTTTATATACTATTCAGCTATATTCAACTGTACTAATAGTTCTTCTGTTTATCACCGTAATTCAGAAATAATAAAAATCCAGTTACAGTAGTTTATCTTCTTATATATATATATATATATATATATATATATATATGAGTGAGTTCTTGAGGGCGATACATCAAACAAAGAAAAGCCAAAGATTTATAAAATAATCTTTATTTCCAAACGTTTCGACATTCAATTTAATGTCATCATCAGTGGATATTACGTTACATGCCTCGGTACTAGCAAAGTACAGAAGTCGTGGCAGAAATTACATAATTCTACTTACATTTTTGTTCAATAAAACTATCATTTTTCTGTTTACATCATACAAAAAATTATATAAAAAAATGCATAGTGCTGACATTAGTTGTATAAATGTTAGTGCCAATCTCTCTAGTGCTGTGTACACTTCTCTATATGTAACTAACAACGTAATATCCACTGATGATGACATTAAATTGAATGTCGAAACGTTTGGAAATAAAGATTATTTTATAAATCTTTGGCTTTTCTTTGTTTGATGTATCGCCCTCAAGAACTCACTCATATATTTCAACATCAAAATTAACTACTAAATCATATATATATATATATATATATATATATATATATATATACACATGCAAAACTAATCCTAGCCATACCAGTGTAGCAAAAGGAGAGTACACTGGAAACAGTCTTACAATTTGCCATATAAGAAATATGATTAATATTAAAATAATTATGCGAAATCGCATAGCACCGGATGGAAACATTTTCAATAAGAATCAGAGTCAGTTCACTTAATAATGAGACCCATTTCAGATATTACTAATTTATAAACACCGGCTGTGTTGTCAGTTTATTATAGAAAAAGGTTGACACCTATAAAACTAAATACAAAAAATAATACTAAATCGCACGCAAATGCTGTTTAACACACGCGACGTTCTTAAGTACTAAGAAATGCATCGGTGCGAATAACATACATGATATATGATATCATATGTTTATTTAACCAAAGCGAATTATTGAAAATTCAAAGATTGTCAAAGTTTAATTGTATTCGTAACGTCGCATAGCATAAATTCAAAATATTATAAGGGGGTAGTAACTCAGTATATATATATCGAAAGTCCTCATGTCATGGCCACCGTCTGTGTGATGGCGCAGCGATTGCGCAAAAAAATTATAAACCATAGAAAAACTCGACTGATACGCGCTGAGTGAGACCAAAATGAACTAAAACCTCATTAAATTTTGTTTGTCCATTGAAAGGATAATATTTATTCACCATAATTATCACTTTTTGTAGTAGATTTACGCTCGTTCACGTAAATTTATTTATATATTTGGATTTACACTCAATAAAGTATATATTAAGAAGTAGTATATTTATACTCATTGAAGAACAGATTTATACTCATCATAGTACTCACTTTACACTAATTGTAGTAAATTTACATTTATACACTTGGATTTACAACAATCAATGAAGCAGTTTTACACTAATTTGCATATTTATACTCATTGTGGTGTATTCAGACTTATTCCAGTAGATTTACATTCAATTTCATATTTTCTCTCAATCTTGCAATTTTAGAGTCATTATATAATATTTCAATCGCAATAAGTATATTTATTTATCATAATTATCAAAATGCATAGATCTAAAGTCTAATTATCAACTACTTTTTAACTTTCTGGAGGAGAAGTTTGTGTTTTTGTAAGAAAATCCGAACTGACGATAACAATAGTTTAAGTAGTAAATTAAAGTAGCAAAACAGTTAATCTTCATTTAACAATAGTTATATTATCATTTTTATAAATTAAAATATTTGTTTTATTACATACAAAAATTAAGTATGAAAACCTTATATAAGGTTGTCAAATATCTCCCTTCCGCTTTTTTGTCTTTTGAATTTCGCGGCTATGTACAAAGCGCTACAGAGCTCGTATCTGGCAATACTATACATAATTTGAAAGGTCTTGACATAACCTACAAATCGACGCTATGCATGATTAGTTTGGATCCTAGACAATATAATAATAGGGTTTAAATATTATGATATATATGATTTAAATATTAAATATAAATGGTTTGGATATTGCGTTCAACAGTTATAGGCGTGTAAACATGGAGTTCACTAACGCCGAAATTCGCGCTATTTTAAAGTTTTCCTTCGCTAAAGGCAAATCCGCTAGAGAAACGTTCCGTGAGATTAATGGTGTTTTGGGGGATGGTACTCTATCACTTCGATCCGCGGAGGAATGGTTTCGACGATTCAGAGCCGGTGAAAACGACACCATGGATAAGCTAGCCGGCGGAAGACGAGATGACACAGTAGTTGAACATTAATAACAATTCAACTACTAAATTAACTTTCATAATTAAAATTATTAATGAATGATTTCATTCTGATAAATTACCCTATTTATTATTGATGGAGCTATTCTATCAATTTATACATAATTCTGAAAAAAAAAATTATAAAATCAATATATTTTAAATCGTACTTCAACTATTATTTATAAATAAAAATGTGATTTACCACTATATACTAACTCTTGTTTTAATTTCTTGCTTGATTATTTTTTATTATAATTTTATGTAATACTTTATTGCATAACTGATTTTATAAGTCGAGATATAATGGAGTATACAGGATCATAATAAGCATTTTTCTTCTGTCTAATTGTTGTTTCATATTTTTGAAGAGCTCCCAAAATCATTTCCAATCTGAAAAACATGAAAACACATATTTTCTAACAAAAAATCAAAATTGAAATTTATTGATATATCTAATCTATTGAGATATCATAACATAGATATATCTATGTTTTAAGACTTGCCACTCATTTTGGCATGCCTTAAAAATTTGTGATAAATCATGTTTAAATCTGTGAAATTATTACTATATTTTTTTTTATTATTATTACTGTGCATTGATTATTTTATTATATCCCGAAACATAAAAAAGTAAAGTAATATGAATGTATATTACACAATATTTGTATGACCAGATAAATTTGTATAAATGTGAAAATTTTAAATAGTACCTGTCTTTTTCTAAAGTGTGGGACTCCCACCATGATGAAAACTTTTCTATGTTCCAGCCCAGTGCTACATGTGGAGAATTTAACTCTGTACCAGCATGAGAAAATAGAAGCATCAATACTGTAGAAGCCCTCAAAGTTCCATCTAAAGTTACAGATTGAGGTGGCAGATCTAATGCTACAGATAGTGAACGTAAGCACCTACAATTATAATAGGTATATATCATACTTATTCTCTTTTTGATAACTATAATCGAGAGCTATGCCATAAGTCTAATTATTTTAAACATTTTCTTTTTCATAAGGTTCCAATGAACCCAAATTTGAATAAATAAAAATTATTACATAAATATTAAATAAAAAAATCATAATTCTCTTTTGGATGAGAATTTTTTTTGGTAACTAATTAATATAATTATCTTACTTATAAGGGGTTCCCAATTGTCCTAATCCATTAACAAATGGCTTTAAAGCCATCTCAAGATGACTGCAGTCTGATACAAGTTTTTTTCTACCCATTGTTGTTAGAGGTCTTACACAGCAAACATTAAATATAAATTGATCGATGCATCGTATAGCCAACTCATTACAACTATAATTTACACCATTTATTAAATATACATTTCTCATCATACAAAAATATCTTGCAAAAATACTAACCATTTGCTAACAGTATTTAGATCATTGTATGGATTTAAATGCAATTTCTTTACTCGTGCAATAAATTGCTGTAACTCTTTCATGTATAGTGAAGGCCCAGTAGAATTGACTGAATTATTATTTAAGCTTGGATCCTGATGAAGACTTATAAGAATTGCATATATACAATTTTCTATCGACTCTGTAAGATATTTAATTAAATACAGTTAATAGGCAAAGATTGTGAAAATACTAGTATTAATTCGAAGAAGAATTCGAAACAAAATCCAAAATTCATAAATCAAAAGCTAACAATACTCTAAGATAATTTTATCATGTTGAATTAATTTTCAAATACTTTTTTTTTCATATAATAATACATACTTTTTAAAGGTTCAATTATATTGCTTATCAAAATATCTCCCCTTGATAAATCTGCCAAAAATGTATCACCTTCTTCTTCCGGAAGATTTGAACCTAAATTGCAATGCATATTTCTCATTTGCTCCATGTGATAAAATGTTACATTAGCAAGAAATATATTTGAAAGCTGCAATGCATTTGGTGAATCTAAAACAGTCAACATGTTTATGTGCAATTATTTATATTATTGATAAAATTAATAAATTATCACAATTATAAATAATAATATTCACTAACCAACAATTTGTGCAGCTTCAGGTGTTTTTTTTATGGCAGCCTCTACTAAATCCCAGAAATATGCATTTTCTTCATTTACTAACAATAATATTTTGCTACTAAGATTTTTATTAACAATCGCCGCACTGAGTTCTGCAGTAGATGTTCTTATTAATGTGTCTATTACATCATAATTAGGTACAACTATATTGTGAAAACATGCATGCAAGTTATTCTGGCATCTATTAACATATCCTGATTCAAACGGTTGAAATAATTCTGAACTAAAAACCAAAAAATCATCTGATTATTAGATGAAAAATGTAGTTTAATAAAATTAAACTAATTCTGAATGTAAAAGTTTTTTTTCTAACTAAAGTTTTTTTCTAAAGATTCAAGTTTAAGGATAAATAATAAAGTTCATAAAAAGTAAATATTATTAGAGCTTGATCAATATTAATCAATTATTATTAGTAAGTACATCATTAAAATAGTATTTTATTTACTTAAACATATATTTCTTCCCCAATTTTTCTTCAAGGGTACCCGCTGCTCCAACTAGTCTTGGTAATTCCAGTTCTAAATTATGCCATGCATTAGATGAAGCATTTTTAAAACCCGATTTTAAGACTAAATGCAACTTTTCCCAGAGTGTTGCCATCAAATTTCTCTTATTCGATAACAAATTTTCATCATTGATAATTTTATCCAATAGTTGAACCTAAATTGATTTTACTTCTTAAATATACATAGAACTATGAAAATTTAAATTTTAATCCAGATTTACTTGTTTACAAGGCCTATGCAAGCCTTCACAAAAGAGTTGGTCAACTTCTGTCCATAATTTAACTTTATAGTCGTGATTGATTGCCGGTGTCTCTAGAAATTCTGTCTCTTTGGAATTCTTGTGAGTAGGTGGCATCATTAAATTAGCTCCCGCATTCAAAGCTAAGTTTACCATTTGCTCAATATCAGTAAACAAATTTGTGAGCAGAGTATTTAGAGCAGTATTCAAGAAATTTAAGTTAGAAAAAATCTAAAATTGCAATGTTATTATATAAAATATTCTGCTACTTGTAAATTTTATTCATTCTCTTACTTGTAAGCTAGATCGAATCTGCTGTATATTAAAAGTATTGAGTCCTTTTTGTAGTTCTCCAGCAGCTCCATCAAGGACATCCTGTCGTATTTTAATAACAGCAGAGCACTGATGTTTCACAATATCTACCCTACTAAGATTTATGTCCTCACTTATAAACTCTATATTAAAAATAAATAAATAAATAAATATATATATATATATATATATATATATAAAAAATACCATAGCATATTATGTTTTATTGTTTGAAATATTTACCTAACTCAGCAAGGATTTGTGCTTGATTAGTAGAATCTGTTAAAAGTTGCAATTCTCTGAAGTTCTGTAAGAACCAACTTACCATCTGCAAAATCTGTGATGTTATATGTAAATTTTTCAAAGTCTTTGTTAACAATTCTAATTTTGTGTTCAAATCTGTAATCTAATTTTACTACATAAATACATGAATTATAAGTGTATTATGCAACAAAAATATTAAGCATATATACCCGCAAGTTTATTTCTGATGCACTCAATTTTATACTACTGGCGTGTGATTTTACGGCTTCTAAAATGTTATCCAGCTGTCCAGAGTGACTAGCTTGCGTAAGTAGTGCATTGTGCTGTTCACAAATCTTGCTTTGCAATTCTGTTGATATGAAATTAAGTCCAGAGGATAATCTAAAAGCATTTATTTTCATATAATTTGTTTAATAGGTCCAGAATATAAAATATATTGAATTCACTTCTCAATTTGTTGTGAGACTTGATCACCCTTTTTAAGATTTGAGGAATCTCCTTTTAAACTCTGAACAAAACTTTTATAAAACACTGAAAAAATAATATAAAGTTTGTTATGTATATATGATGTGTATTTTACGTATTCGCTCAACGAACCAGTATTTTCCATGCTTTTAACATATTCAGACTTCATTTTGAAAATTTCCTAGATATTATTATAATATCTACTAATGTTAAATAATATTAATATAAATGTTTCTACTATATTTAATTACTATACAACGAATTCATATTAAAACGTTGCGAGAATAGTTATATTTTGTATAATGAATTTTATATTTATTTATTTATGACAATGACGGTGTCGGGTGTACAAAGTAATGTCAATGTCCAAACGTCATTATGACAGTTCCTAAGCATGCGACACGCGACCACGACCACGTTTCACGCATCAGATAGTCGGTGGTCGATTCCCCTAGACCAGTGATTCCCAAAGTGATCCATATGGACTCTCAGGGGTTCTTATGGGTCAAGTCAAGGTGTGGTTTCTTTAGCAAAGTATCTTATTCTGATACATGATTTGTAAGGGCCAAAAAAAAGGCGCGTTATATAATTCTTCAATTCTTTGACTTTTGTGGTTTTTAAATTAATCTTTTGGATTTATATTTCATATTTTTGTAATTTATTTTCTCTAGTTGAATCCCCACTGTTTAACTATCCTTGAAACTCTCTTTTACAACATCTTCGTAAATCCTCGTTTTTTTGCGTCGATACTACATAAATCTTTAATTTAAATTTAAAACAAATTGCGATGATGCTGAGCCGAAAATTGACCATTCGTTCAGGTTTACTCTAAAACTGCTGAATCAATTTGAAAAATATAAATTCATTCGACGTAACTCGATAAGAATTTCCTTTGATATGTTTTGCGCGACCTTAGTCGAGGGTTTTCCGTGGTATTAGCAGATGAGTGCAATAGTTTTCGACCACGTTTTCGCGAAAAATACTGAACTGATTTTGAAAACATTCGATATCAGTAGGAAATCGTACCGATATGACAAGTTTTTGGCAAAGTTAAACCGGGTAGTTCTTCTTAATCAAATCAAAAAGCTATAGATAATAAAATGTCTATAAAAACTTTTGGCGTTATTAATGAAACTTGAATGGCGATGAAGTTCATGGGAAAAAAACGAACATCCTAAAATATTAAAGGTCTACGAAAAGTGCCTGCATTAAGTTCATTAAATTTGGAATAGTAGACCGCGCTTTTAGCACTAAATACATGTCTATCAATTTATTAATTGATGTATGTAGTGAAATTGCTAATTTTATCGTTGAAATATAAATTAAGAAACATTTAAGGCAATACATAAAATATCTCAATTATATGTGAAATGAAAAACAAAATTTTTCATTTGCTTAGGTGTCATCATTTATGCTTATTTATCTATGGGTGTCATATAAAGAGCCATAATCTTCAAATTTCAAAAAAACTAAGATTGTACTCTAAAAGAAAAAAGGTATGCATTATATTATACCATTGTTATACTCATATGTAAGATTTATTGTTTGTTTTTGTAGCATTTTTTCACTGAGTTAGCTAGGACTTTAGCCTAAAGGTACAGTCTTGAATTAACATTAATATTAAAAAATTCACAAAACATTTATTGATGTGAAAACTCAATCAATTGAACAGTATATATAAATTGAATTTTTGACATTGAAACATATTTCACATATAAAGCAGCCGTAATTAGTCTAATAAAAAATGATTTTTTTATTTATACAATTTAACACTTGTTACCATTCAGCTGTTCATACCAGAAAGAACACAAAAAAACCAAAACATTCTGAAAAATTATAAGAACTAATCCATGCCAACAAAATCATTTAAATTCTGATCAATGAAGTTTTTGTGAAAAGAACATTGTAGATTATCTGCTATGATATAGAAATTTATTATGTTAGTTACATATTTAGTGCCTTAGCACTGTTAAATCAGTTGAAGCTTGAATTAGTCTTGTATATGTTTATCAGTTTTGGATTTCTAAATAATATTTAAAAGTTTGAACACTCATAATTACAAATTATATGGAATTAGGATATGAATTATATCCAATACAAAAGTCAATTTTTGTAGTCAATGATAGATCCAAATGCAATCCAGAATATTTATAATAGCTAGTTACAAAATTGATACATCTTGAGTTATTTTTCATCGCTTTGATTAGTTTCTTTAACTGCTGGTTGTTCTAAAATTCTGGGACCATATAATAAGACATACGCACAGTGCCAATCACCTAAAAGTAGAACACAGTAAATACTAATATAATTGAATTTGAATTATTTTATATACCTCCTCCAGATAGTTTAATTATATCACTAGGAGTTACAGTGGTGACCATTTCATCATCACACTTCAACCATGTGTCATCTTTATGTCGAATCCAGGCTACATAATGCCCGCTGCTGCTGGATCTGCCTTGATGCGTTAATACTGCTTGCAGTGTGTAATAACCACTGTTATTACTACCTGGATCTGAGTTCAATTATAATTTTCAGCATCATTATATTTGAATGATTGAGAATATCACACACAAAAAACGCAAAAAATAACAATAACAATAACAGTAATGTTTTTTTTCAGAAAAAAAAAGAATATAATAAATTATTGCTTAACAAACATAATTTAATCAAAAACCATAATCAAATTAAAACTTGAAGGCATATTTTGAGTCTTGTATGAGTGGTCGTAGCGAAGAAAAATTCCACAATAGACATGAAATGACAATAAAATGAGAAGCTGCAAGTTAGTTATAATAGGCAATATGAAAATATGTATATAGAAACAGCATAATCACAAACAACAAAAGTTGCAAAAAGTACAAAAGATTTGAAAGTTTGTATTTGGACCGTCATGTATTACCCTAAATTTCATATATGGATGTTTCCATGCTTTTTTCCTATTAATCGTTATGAAAAAAATAATTATAAAAGATATAATTCCATATTGAAAGTTAATTTTGAATCATAAATAAAAAAAACATATACTAACCATCTTCAAAGCTGAAAGGAAGTTTTGTGGTATCTGCTTTTGTGCTTTGTTCTTGGTTTTCTGATGTATTAGTTGCTAAAACCGAATCTTCAGCTTCCTACATTTAAGACAATTTAAGTTTAAAAGTTATTTATGTAATATAAAACATATAGTAATACCTTAAATTTTAATCTCATTGGTGTTAATCGCTCCTGAAGTTCTGGGGTACATAGTTCAAATGCATCAAAATCCATTGGAAACTTAACATCTTTCAAAACTTTAGCATTAATTGCTACCTTATATTTGTAATTAAACCTCACAAACTGCACTGTTAAATATGCAGGCAATCGACTTATCAAAGACTGAGAAACAAACATTAGTCAATAGTATATATATATATATAAAGCATTAAACATTATAATTATAGTAAATATATTATATTACAAAAAAAAAACTTACATTTTTGGTATAAGTTGCATCTCGTCCCAGGCTGAAGGAAAACTTACTAATTTCTTCATGCATTTTCTACAACAAAACATATTGATACAATATACAGATCAAGAAAGAACCATAACTAATTACTTACTGATTTTAATCCAGATTGCAAATATTTAACTTCTGCTGATATAAAACAACTCAGTTGTAAAACATTCTCTTTGCTTTTGGTAGGTTCTTCTGACTCCGACTCCGTGCACTTCATTTCAACATCAAATGTAACTCCAAAATATTGATCTATTATAGATCTGTAATTTATATTCATTAGTACCATGCACATATTCATTATAAATATAATCTTACTTATTAGTTGAACCACTTGTTGCTGGAAGATTCTGTTGCAACATTCTGATCAACTCAGTCCAGCATTCATTCGCATCCTAAAAATATAATTGAAAAAATGTTATAAATTTATTGTTACTTGAATTCTTTATTTACAATTAAATTAAATGATTTACTTGTTGTGTGTAATCTCCTTGATCTGATTTCTCAGCAAATCTTGGTAATGCCATGTGAAATGTTTGCAGTAAAACAATTGGAGGTATAGGTGCTCCAGTATCCATTGTATCATATAAATCACGCAAGGATATGGTTATATTAGCAGACATTGATTGCTCAGATCCCAAAGATATTGCTGTAATTAATATTTAAAGTTGGAAAATAATAAAGTTAGAAACACTAAAAAATTATGAAGAGAACATACACCCTTTAAATTCTTTAAGAGCACTCCGTAATTCGGGAACAGTTTTCAAACATTGAACTGTGGCATTCATATAGCATGTGTTACCAATGTTAAGTAATCCTGATGGCAAATCCAACTGAGAATAAGTATTGAATATTTACAATTATAATATTAATATGTGGTAACATTCAAATTAAAAGATCTTACTGCTGTGGCTAATTCTCGTTCATTCATATCTTCTACAAATTTGGTTTTAATTTCAGGCACTTCAGGTAATTCTTCCTTGGTCCCCATAAGTAAGATTGTTGCACCCTTAAAACAATATATATTAAAATATAAATACTTTTAAAAATTCCTTCGCAAAGCATATATTTTATATAATTTTAAATATTGTCAAATAAATAATAATGCAAGTAAGTAAACTAAAATAAATATTTAATATTCTATATAATATTTATAAAATAACAACAACAGGAGGATAAATACTGTTTTCATTGCAATAAATTATAAGTAGCCGCATAATTGAAATATTAATAAAATGATACATCAGGACTTCAACACAGTACATAATTTGCAAAATTGATTATGTTATTGGACATGCTAAATTGATATTTTATTAAATATCATTTTATAACTTTTTTCATATTACAATTTCAAGAAATAAAACGTATAAAATAAAACACAGCAATATAAAAAATACATATGATACTTGCAAGCCTATATACCTGAAATGCCAAGTTTAAGGCTCATATCAAAATGTGTTTATTTTTTGGAAAAAATATTGGTAATACTAATATACCACAGTGATTAATGAATAAATAGCAACAAATGATAAAAAATGGAAGTAAGAGTAGTAGTAAATGTTGTACTCTTAAACTACAATAGGGTATTATTCTTATTACAGTACTTACATTTTTGATAGGCATTTTTCCCCAATCAGTATCTTTGAGAGCTACACCTTTGCACATCACCTTTTGCCTATCAGGTCGAACCCCAGTTAAGGCAAAAAGCTGTGCCTTGAATAGCATAGGATCTTCATCGGTATTTACTTCTATATCAGGAAATTGTTCTTTTCCCCATTTTACAGTCACTTGAAAGTAATAAGTGTAATAATTAGATTTTTTAGATATTAAAACCAATAGATCTGTTTATTTACTATTAACGAATGAACAATTATTAATTGTGTAATATACTATTAATTTCACAGAATTACGAGTACATCAAAATAAAAAAATTAATCTGTATTTACCAGTATAAGTCGGCATTATTAGTTACGATTGTAGAATAAGGTTATGTACTTTTATCTTATTGTGCAAACCGAACGTCACGCTTGTAAGTTTATTTTTTGAGCACAGGGCATAGAATTAAAATAAAACACTATGATATGGAGTCTAATTCTATAGTGCTAATAACATAAAACTGACTGAGTAAGCAAGTTCAATAAAACTTAGACCGTGAGTATGAAATTTTAACGTCCGGAATTACATTCTCATTCACGCAGAGGTTATATGTACATTAAAATCATGATTTTGACATATTTTATCGCGCGGCGTCTGAAGGTGTAAACGCTTCAAACAGATTAGCCAACATGAAAAACGCTACACTATGTACACTTATCGTGAGTTTGTTCTGTTGGTAGACGACAAGAATGTTTTCCGTTATAATTTGAAACTTCGAGTTTAACCGACCAATTCTGCCGTAAAATAGACAAATGTTGTTACGCTGCGTTTTTTCATATAAAATGGTACTAAACACTGACTGAAATGCTATGTATTTGCAGTGCGTTCAAGCGTGACACATAAGAAAGATGCAATTATCATAAGATTCTTTTTCTGGAGTTTGTGCGTTTCCTGGATTAGGTTTTATATCTGAAACGCCTGTTAATCTGTTAAAATGCCTTGTTTGAAAAACGCAGCATAACATAGTATTGCCTAAACATTGGTCTATTTTACGGCAGAATTGGCTCATAAGAATAAAGTGAATGAACCATAAATAAAAAAGCTACTTAAATGACCGTAGGATGTTATTATAGCCCGGTCAATTTAAACCTAAAATCCGGGTAAAGGTTACTATAATTCATAAATGACTGTAAAACTTGGTAAAATTGTTTAAAATACAATTATAAAAGAAATCTCAGAAGTCCTCATCGATCCGATGCGAGCTAAAAAATTGCACAAGATCAAAGGTCAAAAAATAACCCTTTTGCGATTTTTAGCTAAATGGTCAGTTTTATCGCAAAATTACCTAAGACAAAATTGTAGAGCATAAAATTATCTACATAAAATGGATCAATACTTTTTTTTTGCTCAGAGACACCGTTTTAAACATATATCACTTTGAAATGTACGTTTAAACGCTATCTACGAGGTAGTGTGCTTAGCTCGTTTTTTTACATGGTTTCCCCAATAGTCCTATTTCACGGTTCTGTTGTGATTTTGTTTGTTTCGAAACACTTGCAAAATAATATTTGTGAATTTGGGTTGGTAAAAATAAAGGCGGTAATTATAAAAAAAGCACTAAATTTATTTATGGGAGTCATAATTTTTTAATGTTTCTACATATTTTTCGTATTGTTTTTCTTGATCTTCTTCTTCTAACTAATTGTATTTTAAACAATTTTGCCAAGTTATAGCCCATTATGAATTATAGTAAACTTAAATGCGTAAATTGACCATATAAAAGTATTATTTTTTTTAACTTTACTTTTTAGGTCTAGTGTAGGGCAGGGCACAAAGGTCCATTTTGACTATAAACAATTACAACAAAAAATACATATCAAACGAACAGTTATCTGACTATTTTCAGTAAAACCCATAGCTAGCAGCTAATTCATCATTGTAGAAAGGTGTTTTGCTGCAGGTTTTAAAAAATTTATCACCTGGTTCTTTTTACCGGGTTAAAATGGGACGACCAGGGGGCAAACAGGTTGTATTCTTATTTTTAATTTTAAAGGGATTAATTTAAAATTCCATCCTATACAAAATTTTGATATTGAAGCTATTAATTTCTTTCTTATCAAAATTATTGAACTTTATTTGCCGAAAATCCGACATTGTTAAATAGTTCCATATTGCACAATGTTTTTCAAACTCAATCTATCATTGCTGAAAAACCATTGATAAATTAAAAAAAAATGTTTTAGAAAAATTATACAAAAAAACTAACAATTTCAAACTCATTTTTTTAAATAATTTAATGCTTTTAAACTTTCTACAGAGATGCTAATAAAACAAAACTTCTAACTGTTCTTTACATTCCTGATCTGATTCGATTATTTAATCAAAAAAGATATTTGTGACTTATTAAGTTTAGACCAAAACTATAATAACTATATAATTATAGACCAAACGTTTCCCTTTTTATATTTTCAAAGTATAGTAGAATAAAAATTTTGTTTACTGATAATTTTTTTACCTGAACAAATGGTGCAAATACATCATGAAGTTTATGTTTGTATTCGGCACTGTAATGCAAAATCCAATTATAACGCGTCTGTTAAATTTAACAACAAATCTAATGGCAAATAATTCCATAAATTAAATTACGGTATGTAAATATCACCAAACGAGTTCTAACTAATACACTTCACATTAGTATATGGGTGCTATTAAAACTTAAAACTGATTGCATTAAAGTACAATTTTAACTAGCTGTAAGTGGAATTCTGTCTTAAGGCAATTAAGGCATCGTGCCTTAAGGCAATTAAGGCATCGTGCCTTAAGGCAAATTGCTGGAACTTCCCGTACCAAAAATTATTATTTTTTTTAAAAACGATTAACATTTTTGAAAAAAATTTACTTCGAAAAAATTAGATTAGAGAAACTATAAATTTGACAAAAATTTACTTTTTTTTGAAAAAAAATTTTTTTTTTGAAAACAATTTTTTTTTGAAAAGAACAATGTTTTCTTCATTTTGACATATTTTGGAAATTCTGAACTTTTTTTCAAAGCAATCGTACTGCTTTAACTGCATAGAGACGAAATGTCAAAGCGCGCGCGTCTGACGCATAAGCATTGGTACGGAACCCATAGAAATGTAAAACTAGCTGTAAGTGGAATTCTGTCTTGAGGCAATTATGGCATCGTGCCTTATGGCAAATTGCTGGAACTTCCCGTACCGTAACAAAATGTTTGAGGAATACTGAATGTTTTCAAATAGATTATTATAAATATTGTAACATTGTCTAATATTTATGAGAATTATATAAACTGAATTGCAGAGTTGAAATTATTTGTAAAGTATATTAGAACTATAGTCAGAATTAAAAATAAAATCTGAAATATTTTTGATAAAACTAAAAAAAAAAAAAAAAAAAAAATTGAACAAAATTTTTTTTTCCAAAATCAATTATTTTGTTAAGACAAGCAGAAAGTTCTTTGAATCATTTAAATCGGGCGCTTAGTTCTCTCAAATTCTGCCATTTTTTACATATTTAGCTCCGTATCTTCAAAATGGCTGGGCCTGCCTTTGCCAAAAACTAATAAACACTTCTCCCAATCTTTACTAATTGAATGCTTTTTAGATCATTCAAATCGGATACTCCGTTCTCTCAAAAATTCGATTTCTATTTTCTGCACTCTTTGCTCCGTATCTCCGAAACGGCTGGACCTGCCTTTGCCAAAAACTAATCAGCTCTTTTCCCTATCAATAGGAATCGAATGTTTTTTGAACCATTCAAATCGGTTGATCCGTGCGCCCTAAAACGTGACTGGAAATTTGTATCCATACATACATACACACACACACACACACACACACACACACACACACACACACATCCATTTTTTCTGAGGTATGCCAAAACGTTCAAAAACCTTCAAAACGTCGAGAAATGTTAAAATTTTCAATTCCGATTTTCGGCCCATTACAATAACTTACCATACGGGAAGTTAAAAAATATACCTATTGTTAAAACCCATAGAAATGTAAAAAAAATATACCTATTGTTAAAACCTCTATAAAATATCTGATAATTTGATGTGCATATGTCTAATGACCATTTTTAAACGCCGAATGGCATTTTTTTTTACTTTTTTCATTAGATCTCCGAAACCGCTAGACCTGCCTTCATGAAAATTTGATCAATTTTTCATCTTGTCAATTCAAGTGAAATGTTTTTTGAATTATTCAAATCGGACCCTCCGTTCTCTTAAAAACTGAGTTACCGTTTTCGGCACTTTTTGCCCCGTATCTTCGGAACGGCTAGACTAGCCTTCGCCAAAAACTAATCAGCACGTCTCCTTATCAATACGAATCGAATGTTTTTTGAATTATTCAAATCGGTTGATACATACACGCACACACACACACATACACACACACATACATCCATTTTTCCTAAGGTATGCCAAAATACTCAGAAACCTCTGAAACGTAAAGATATATAAAAATTTTCATTTTCGATTTTTTTGCGATTACTATAACTTGCCCTACAGGAAATTAATAGCAATGATCAAGACATTAAAAAAATAGATAAGCATACGAATATAATATCAATGTCTGTAGGAATCAACGTTATTAGCCTGCAAGTAGCTAGATGTAATTTGGAAATATAATTAAAAATATCAATGTATTTACAGTGGAAGTCCTTCACAAAAACGTATCACAAAATAAAGCGAAGACAAAATATAAATGAAGCTCAGAATCAGATTTATAATATTTGATACAATTAAAAATGTATCAAAATAATAAATAGCTATATATAAATATTATAGAAAAGGCAATAACTAAATGTATAAAACATATTTTGTTCACAACAGTCATTTTATTTTTTAAAATATCATAGAAGTTAGGATATAAGATCATAGAAATCCAATCGAAGAACATATTTAAAACTATTACAATTTTGAAATATTTTGCTATATATAATATAATATAATATAACATAATAAATAATATAATATAATATAATGATTTATATCATAGCAACGGTTAACATCGCGAAGGAATTCCATTTCTTCAAATTGCTCCTACCTCATACCACCAACATTGTCATTCCGACTAGATAACACAAAGTGTATCGGCGCTTTTGCAAACAAAATCAGTTTGATATTGGTATTTTAATGATTTATACGCCATTTTCGAACATCTCGAAAAAATATTCGATATACCAATTTTCAAGCCTCTACCTCATCATTTGCCCGAGATATCATTGAAAATATGAGAAATTGGCCCCGTTTTTCAAATTTTCTTTTTGTCTTATTATGGCAAGTATGTGTATAACGTGGTTATATTCAAAGTGACCTAGACTAGATAAGTATTAATTGCAAACTAGTGGTGCATGGCATCGTGCCTTGAGGCAAATTGCTGGAACCCGTACCAAAAATTAAAATTTTTAAAGATTCAAATTTTTTTATTAAACTTTGAAAAAAAAAATAGATTTTCGACAGTTTTGGAAATTGTTTTATGTTTTAAAATATTTTAGAATTTTGAACTTTGTTTCAAAGTAATCGCGCTGCGTAGAAACGAGATATTGAAGCGCGTTGCAGTCTAACGGATAACATTGGTACGGGACCCAT